CTTGAGCAAGGCAGTGGCTCCTTTTTTTCTTACCGGAACAGGAGTAAATACTTATTCCAGAAATTAAGAAACTCCAGTTCTGGACACTAATTGCTGCAGTCATTATTATTCAGACGTGGAGCGGACGAGAATTTATCTCTGAAACGCAACTGAGAACTGTTTAATGTTCCAACTCGTGCCATCTTTATGGTAAAGCCTGTCTTAGCGATGGGATGTTGACTGGTCAAATGATCATTTATGATCGCATTCAGTCATAAGGCTTTATCTGTTGGGCACGTTGGCCATTTAAGGACAATAATGGCCAACGTGCCCATGTTGACCTGTCAACTTCCCATGCCTTGTCACTTCATCACTTGTGAGATATGACAAATGAAGCACAAACTGCATAAAAAAAAAGGACAAAAGTTGGCCTTATTGCCAATTGACTTGTCAATATTGTCAATTATGGTCATGTTTTCAATTGACTGGTCAATAACCCATCCCTAGGTAAGATACATAAAAATGCACATAAATGAGCATACAAATTAATTACTTTTTAACTATGATGTGATACACCGTTCATCCCACCGTGGAAGTTGTGGTCATCTAAGCCTTATACTGTAAATATTTTTTATTTTTTATTAAATTATTATTTTTCTTAAATAGTGGTACAAATTCCGAACCACCATGCATCACCCCCCAGCGAAAAAGTGGTACGGAAAAGCGCTTGAAAGAGTTTAAAAAAATATATATAAAAAAAAGCTGGAGGCGAGCGCGACGAGCGGAGGAGAAAGACTAAAAGACGAAACCGCCGAAATGCCCCCCCAGGGGGAGGGCGATAAGGATGATGAACGTCCGATGGACGAAAAGCATCCATCGCTAGAAGGATGATGAACGTCCGATGGACGAAGAGCATCCATCGCGCATCCCAATCCCCGACTTCCCGCTTTCTCGATCTCTCAGACGTAACCCTTTCGTTTCCCCTCCGTCTCTCGGAACCCCGTAACGCGATCGCGGCGGGTTTCATATCGTTGAAAAGCTCCCTTCCTCTTCTTTCATTCGATGCACGATTCATGACTCTTGCAGGAGTCTCGATAGGGCGATCGAGGAAAGATGAAGCGGTAGGAAAACACCCAGATCCTTCCATTTGTTATATGATACACCAATTAGTTATACTATTAATTTATTATATTTGAGTTTTCACTCTGCATCAGCACGCACAGAACTTCTGAGCGCGATTCACGCCAAGAACCTGCAGTTCGAGCCCGCCACTGGCTACAATATATAATCGGCGATTTCCCTTTCGCATTTCCAGCTCGAAGCGATCCCACGTTATATCGGACGGCCAGCCGTAAATCCTCGCTCGGAATGCGGCGTGACAGGGATGATTCAAGAATGCGCGAACGTGAGGACACGCACACGCACTTTTTTTTAATTTTCTTTTTTACCTCGGGCCCAGGAAGCATTTTTCGTTCCTTCCTTTTTCCAGTCCTTTTCCGGAAGGACTCGTTCGTAAGAGGCAGTCTTCGTCGAAGGGGGGCGGGGCGGGGCGGGGCGGGGGAGCTGCAGCACTCCCTCGCTCGCCCAGCACTGCCAGGAAATAAAAAGTAGTACCTTTTCAGTCCTGGGGTTTTAGCTAGAGGCTTCATTTCATCTCATAAAAAAAAGTCCATCCGTGCTCTGAATACGACTATCACATTTATCCTCCAGCATTTTTTATATTTACTTGGGGGAGATGAGGGAAGACGACCACGTGGCAATGTTCTTCCATTACACGCTGCGCACCTTGTTATTATTTTAAACATCTGTTGGAAGAGGAGGATGATGGACGCAATGAAGAAGGAAACCTCACCCTGATGGGGGCGGAGACGACAGGGTTGCCACTTGCATTACGCTAGCAACCCTGCCGGCGTGGACAGGGTTGCCCCCCCGAAACAGCCACTTTCATATCGGCATTTGGTTTTCAGGCCTTTCTCATCCCATGCCCATAACTACAAAAGATTTTATAGCTCATGCATCTGATCCTCTTCATCGGAATTCGTCGGTCGTAAGTCTCGTCATAAAATGGAAATTTAGCATAACAAGAAGGAAATACTGATCTGTATGAGATCCCCGCATCGCCCGAACCGGAACAACCTCAAGGTGATGCATGACCGCTGTCACTCCGGTAACTTAACCACTATGGTTTTCTCCCCGTTCGAACGCGATTCAATTTCCTCGTTCCCCGTTCGACGAAACTTCCTCTAATCAGCGGTTCCCCTTGGAACATAATCTGAAGGATCCGGTGTCAGCCTCCAGAGCGTAACAAATTCTAAGAGGGCCCATTAGGTTCCGCGAAGGGCACCAGGATTCCATGAAGGGCAACGATGTGACAGCCGTTATTATCTGTCTGACAGCTGAAAGTCCAGAAAACATGTCTCTATCGTTCTTGAACCAAATGCCTATTCCTCGTTTCAAATGCCTCTTTCTCCTTTCAATATGCCTATTCCTCGCTTCAAATGCCTCTTTTTCGTTTCAAATGCTCACCGGTCGCAGGCCTCTCTACCCCCCCCCCCCCCCCCCCCTCACTTAGTCTTAGTCGCAGACGTCGGAAGGGGCAACAGGGGTCATCGGCGGTTCGCGTTGGGTGCCTCGAAAGTATCTCTAGAATGGGTTGCCGCAGTTGCCTTGCACTAATCACTTCTTGCGATGTTTCTCGTGGCAATTAAGTCGATCGGAAGGTAACGGATGCGATCGGTCGTAATCCTTCCGCGTGGAATGAGGTCCTCGTTATCCCGTCCCGCTAGTTTTCTTTCGATTCGAGGTATTTACGAGCATGTCGCATGAAAAAAAGTCTCGGCTCCCTTCGCCGGTAATTTCAGGAAAAACCCGCAATTTGTACGAGCCGATTTGCTGACGCGAGACTTGTGAAGTTTCGGTGAAATTCATCTCGTGCAAGCAGAGCCACGAACAATTTTTCCGAACTAAGTGAGATACTAAAAGTGAAAATGGGTTCCATGCTGGGAGTCGAAAGGAGGGAAGAGCTCGAGTGAATGGAGTCCAGTCACCGGACTCCCTTCGCTCTGGAATGGAGTCCAGTCGAGCCCCCCATCCTGTTTTTTATTTCCAGTTTATTTTCGATAATCGTTTGTGGCCAAGCTCTGACAGAACAACTTTGCTTGAGATTTCAAAGGAGTGTTGGGGACATATCAATCCGTGCAAGGTGCAACTTTCGTGAGGATGGCTCCAGTAGGTGGAGAGATATAAAATCTAAAAGTTGTTTGTCTTTTTTTTTGCCATACCCTGTTCGCCTGATTTATGAAGTGTCTGTTGCTAATAGGCGTAATAGTCTGATTTTAGCGTTAGGTGGCCGTGACCCTAGATATGCGTGAGTCATTGCCACTACCTTCGGTCACGTGCTGAATTTAATATCTGATGCAGTTTCGGGCTTAAGAGCAATTCCGAGTGCTGTATTAAACATTTCCCATAAAAACATATGCGTAATATGTATTCTTGGAAACCCTGCTGAAATGGGGATTTAAAAAAAAAATATCCCAAATCAGTGAAAGCGTCTGCAGACCTCCGGGGACTAATTGAAGCCATCTGGCATCGCATTTCGATGCCAAGCGACTCCCTCGCCTCCGAGAGTCGCACCTGGAATCCTGAGCCGAAAAAGTATTACAGTGGCATTTCTTTCAATCTGCCATCTGTGGAAATCCTTTCGCTCTGAACTGGGGACTGAAAGTAATTTAAAAACAATTTACGAGCATTCTGCGCATAAATTCATTCGTGAGCCACTTCTTCTGAAGCAGGGGAATCGCCCAGATCTTCGCCGAAATGTAATTCATGACAATGGATTAGTTGTCTTTTTACAGATATTACCATGAAAAAAGACATAAATTAGATATTGAATTTCATGTTAAATCCAATGCTTTTATGCAAATATAGTCGGGGAAAATGGGCAGGAAATAATCGGCCACTAAAAGGGTTGAGCAACTTTCACAACACGGAAAGAGCCTCGACGCGGAATGTTGAGTACTATGCATCGCAAACGGGGACGAGGCCCTTCCATTGAGGGACATTTTGCACCTCCACGCTAACACGCCGGCGACCTAACACCCAAGGAAGGCTGCTGCTCGTTTTCTTCCCGCGCTAACTTCCTAACCCACAGGGGAGGCTCCTTACCGCCGCTCGTTTTCTTCCCGCGCTAACTTCCTAACCCACAGGGGAGGCTCCTTACCGCCGCTCGTTTTCTTCCCGCGCAATCTTCCTAACTCTCAGAGAAGCGCATAATAAAAGGTTCTTCACTTCAGCTCGTTTTGCTCCCATGCTTTCCAGTCGTACGGCTTTGTTCACGGGGCATCACGCTGTGATCGATGACTGCCTTGGGGATATTAGAGACTCCGGACAAGTCGATCATTCAACGTGTGAGAGTGATACTTCAACGCGGCCGAAAGGGTGACTCATTAACATCATCAAGTAAAAATGGAAACTCGCCAGAAACCCTTCCCGGCAAAAGGAAAGCACCCGGAGACCCCCCGCGCTTGCCCCTGGACTTTCTACATGGAAAAAAAAATTAGTAATGGAGAGAATTCGTTATGTCAAGTTGACTGTAGTTCCAAGTTCCCGGCCGTTCGCCCATTCGCACGCATGTCGAAAATTTCACCCCGTCCCTTCGAGTTCGTTATGTCGAGCGTCGACTGTAAAAAGCAATTCCAGCATGTAGGCTCACGGAAAGTCCGACTGCTGTGAGCGGGAATATCAGCGAAGACCTTGGGATTAAAAAAAAAAATAAGTTTCAGCCCAGTGGAAGGTGAAAAAGTTTCCAGACAAACGCTCACAGACCGCACCAGACACACAGAGAGAGAGAGAGAAAAAAAACAAGCCTCCAAGAAAGAGACTAATGGATTTTCTTTTTTGTGACCAGACAACACGAGTTTTTTTTTTCGGTTCTCTGCGATTCTTCGTATAGCCTTTTTTTTTAAATAAATATTATTATTCATCTTTTACTTCATATACCGATGAAGGTCAACCATGCTGAAATGGCGGGTATAATTTCATTATGGATGTCAATATCGCCTTCCATTCAGTTGCTTTTCCAATCCTCGCACTGACTTTTTTTAAGTCCCACATCCAAAAGAGACAAGAACCTATTTTTAAAAAAGATCAGATGTACGTAGACTTTAGGTGGGGTGTCACTTTATTTATTTATATTATTTATTTAATCCCTCCATCCAAAATCGTGCGAATGCGAGACATCTCGGATGAATAAGAAATACTTCTAGTTTTTTTTTTTTAATTCCACTCGAATTCGAATTGAGAAAAGGATTAAAGCTAAACTGTCGATAGTTGCAGCGAAGGTGAAATCAGCTCTTCGCTTTGACGCTCCGAAATGGTCCCACGGCTTTCTCGGTACTTTTCTTTCAATAATTTTATCTTGGGAGTTATTAGGATTGCTTTGCTTTTTTAAAATTATTATTCAGGAGTGCCACTTTGCAAAAGGATCTCCGGTCGATGCGTGCTTTCCCGCACGTGACGTCTCCCGCGAATGAAGTTGGGCGCATGGACATCGTTAACGAGACTGCGAGGCAATTATGAGACAGAGGTATCAAGGTATCAAAGATTAATTTATTCCACGAGACTGCCAGCTGCTTCATCGCGATCCTCAAAATTTTAATTTTTTTTTTATTCTCGTACTTTAAACATCGGATACATTTTTTGAGAAACTAGTGAGACTTTTTCACATTCACGCGCGATGCCACGTGCAGAACACGGAGCTCACGCGATGTCACATTTGAACGCGCGAACCTTCACGCCCCTCACTCACGCCCCTCTTTCTCTCGTCACAGGCGGCGGCGGCTGCGACGGCCAGGTGCCGCTGGTGAACCTCCTCCTGTACAACTACCTTCTGTCGAACATGGTGCAGGGTCTGACGGATCAGCCGGTGACGCAGACGGCGCTGCCGCGTTCCGGACTCGCGGGGGCCATACTTCAGGGCTCGGGCCTGCAGGGTCCCATCCTTCAAGGACCGATCCTCTCCACCTCGGTGGAGACGCTGACCCGACTCGTGACCGCGACCTCGACGACGACCAAGGAGCTGCCCATCATCTACAGGGGCGCCCGGATCGTGACGACCATCACTGGCACTCGCGTCGAAACCGAGACCAAGACGGAGTTGCGGACTCACACATTCACGATCACGCCGACTCCAGTGCAGACGACGATCGTCCAGACGGAAGAACCGGACACGACTTTTGCCCCCGAGCCGATCCGGCGATCTCGGCCGTTTCGGACGCGACACAACTTCAGAGATTCATTTCTCGAGCCCGACCTTCAAGGCTCGGAAAATTCTCCCGTGATCGTGGACCCGTCTCCGACCCTGTCGGACGCACCGGACGACCCACCGGTCGACCCGTACGACCTCGAAACGACCCGGCCTCCCTCGACGACCCCGGCCGGCCTCCGCGGCCGGTTCCCGTCCCGAGTGAACCTCGACCGGCGTCGCCAGATGCTCAGCAAAGTCTTCAGCTTCAACAAGTTGAATCCAAATGAAATCGCTCGGGCGGAATTGACGACACCCCCGAAGTCGACCTCGGAGACCAGCCCTTCAAACCTCGTCACTCTTCCGCATTCCGAGCATAAAAAAACGACGGAATCGGAACCGAGACCGGTTTTCGTGCCGAGCACGGACCGAAAACCGTGGAAGCCGGAAAAAACGACGACGATCGTGACGACATCGTCTGTGTCGAACAAGTCCCAGCCGCAGCCGACGTCGGATCCCACCTCGCCCGAATTCGAGGAGGATCCGGAGACGGGAGCCATGACGGTGGCCGTGTCCGTGTCGCACAGCTCGAGTGTCAGCACTTCCTCGGGGTCCACGCTGCCCTTGGACCGGGTCAAGCGACACAGCGACAAGAAATCCGATTTTTTCAAGCTCTTCGATAAGGAGCCTTTCTGGAAGCTCGGCGACGTCCGTCCCACCGACCCGATGCTGGAGGAGCCACCCGACGCCTTCGACCCCTTCGGCGACTCCTCCTACTCCAGCCCCGTCGTGGAAGTGAATCTCGACGGGGCGATCCGCGACAACCCGCTGAAGAGGCTCGCAGATGCCATCGCCGGCGCGGTGGAGGGCGCGCTGCATCCCGGCGGATCCAAGCTCCTCCACGGCGACCCGCTCAAGGCGATGAAGAAGATGATCCACGACTCGGTGGAGGAGGTGATCCGCAAGGATCCCATCGCCGGGGACGCAATCGACAAACTCCAGCGGGAGAAGGCGAGCATGGAAAACGAGCTGAAGAGGAATCTCTGCACGCCCGAGACGGTCATTCGAGTCGTGACGAGCACCGTCTATCTCCCGTCCACGTGATCGCTGGCGATCGGTGCTCAATTCAGATCTCACTTTTATTCTTATCGTTTAGCGTCGTGCTTAGGCTGTTGAGATGTCTGCGTGTTCTGTGCTCCGTCCGGATTTTTGTTCCTGTTGCCTGCTTTTGTCGTCTTGTTGAAATCCGTAATGACAAAGAACTCGAGTGACTGGAATATTATACAATTTTTTCAAAAACAATTGTGTTGTCACTCCAATCTGTAGTAGGCTTACCAAAACATTGAAATAGTGTAGTCTTATTTAGTATTACTTTGGCTGTAAGTCAACTGTTTTTTTTTTTCTTCTTCTTATAAGAGTGTGATGATTCACACTATAACTTTACTTTGGAGAAGTGCTAATGAATCAGCCATTCATCAGTGGCAACCTTGCCATCTTCCAACAGGGTAACTTAGTCACCAATTGAAACAGAGAAGGAACTGGTATTTGAGTGAGTTATTGACTAAGGTGGCGGAGATGTCGGTTCTTCCTCGTGGGTCTTGGTCACGAGCGCCAATATGGTCACCATATGTTTACCCTCAGCATTGTGCTTTCCTGGATCAGGTTGATAGTTGTAAAATCTTTTGCACAACTGCACTGACATTCACAAGATTTCTCAACCCCATTCATACTTTGTTCAGTTCCCTAGGAGAGAAGCACCAGTTCGTGAACGAGGGTCATGAAATGTGATTTGGCCATTTGTTTCTTGAGTTACACGCTCCAGTTTTCGGTATCTGCAGAAAATGGATTGATTGATTAGTTTCACACTCCATCCCAAGCATTAATTAGAGTAACAAAAGGCCAAATTGCATTTCATGACCCTTGTTCGCTAACTGGCTCCCTGTTCGCGAACTGGTGCCGTTCCCCTAGATGGGGTTTCTCCAATACACTCTTCCTCTGGGCTTGGCTTTACTGGAAGACTAGACTGTGCTTGGAAAGAGAATACATCTCCAATCCATGTGAGTCTTGGGTGTTTCCAAGAGACCACTGGCTCCCCTCAAAATGGACTTGTGATTTGTCATCAGAAAATAACTTACCCAACTAAAAGAAGCACTCCATCTTTCCCAGTACATGAGACAGGAGGAAATGCTCAGGTCACCTTGACATACTTTTTTTTTTTTCATTTTTGTCCTCAATGGTTCCACCGTTGTCTCAGGCTTTTCTGACATGCATTTTATGATTATTCTTTCTAGTTTGGAATAGCTAGTGATGAGGCAAAATGGAGAAGGAGCTGGTTCATGAGAATAGGAATTATGTGGGCATAAGAAAGTCTAAATATTTCAGCACCTCCATATTTGTAGTGTAGCTATTAATCAAAAATGACTTCCTCTCATGCAAAGGATCTCACCAATGAAATATTATCAGAGTGAATCACATCATGGGAACATGGGCAACAATGATATGTTATTTTTTTTATTTAGTCTATCCTATGGGGACATTCCTCAATCACTGTTGAACCCCTGGACTTCCTCACAGATCTCAATTTTGGCAATCCTTTGATTTTTTGAATATCCACAGAATCTGAATCATCACTTGACTCAGAATCAGAAGTGTGGGTGTGACCACTGTCTGTTGAAGAGGAATCACTTTCATACTGGAAGAGGGCCAGGTCCTGAAAAAAAATAAAATGGAAAAAATACCTCATCAATTCTAAGTTGGCATTATTATAGCATAATTATTCAGAGGAAAATGTCTCCATTCGAAAGCATTTCCAAAACTCTTACAGATTATTGTTCCACTATATAACTCCCTAACAATTGCATATGATATTCAGAGAGATAGTTTCTTTTTCATGTTTTGCAATGAATGACCATGTGTAGACAAACTGGCAAGTTGCATCAACCTCCTATTTGAGTGAAAAAAAATTGGGGCTGCATAGAAGACATCACTTTGACCAAGCCAAATGTCACCTGTAGCCAGCCAGAAAATGAAGCATGCAGTTATTTCATATTAAAAAAATTGACAGTCTTTGACACATGAAACAGAGGAAAAAAAAACGGTTTATACTCTTTCCAGATAACTTTTCTGATTAATGTAGCTCCAAAATCCAGCCTCAGGAATTGGAAGGTGAAAAAAGTACACTAGTAATGAGCTTGGGCATAGGGAAAAGGAACAGGCCATATTGCCCTATCCTAGATGCAATGCATGTTCACCCAGTAAGTAAGAATGGGTGGACATTTAATACTGTTACTGAATTTACTATCGATAGGACTGACCACTAGCTATGGAATTATAGAAAGACATGGGAGTTTGCCTCATGAATCCTTGATGGCATACAGCAAGTAACAACCCTTCGCAGCACTCTATAGATCATGATATAATCATCGTCGATATGTCAATCATGATCATGATAATCATCGTCGATATGTCGATCATGATCATGGTAATCATCGTCGATATGTCGATCATGATCATGGTAATCATCGTCGATATAATTCAAGTCTGTCTCGAAGATGGTGAATTTACCATTTCTATTATTGGTCCACTGCAACCATTGATGTTTTCAATGTTGAGTTCTGCTGGAGAAGTCCTCTCCAACTTGCGAAGGAGACCTTTGTTGGCATCTTGTAATGAGGGGAGAAATTCTTTGACCCTCTTCAGTGCTTCACTCTGAGGAAGCATCTTGATATCAGGTGGTTTCTCCAACAAAGTCTTCACCAACTTCAACTCTGCAACAAAAGGGTCATACTCTTTCATCCAAATGCTACGAGAAGGAATACTGCCAGCATTGCTAATAGCCTGTGCTCGTCTTTTTCCATGCCTTTTGATTCTGAAGGTTGTTCTTCCAGATTTCAATTAGACACCTTTACACACAGAAAAACCAAGAAGCTAATTTAAACATCCCATCATTAATATACTCCATACTCAGCATCCAGAGTAGTATATGACCATTCTGGAACTTACTATGAGGTGGACTAGGATCAGCACCATTCTTGTTTTCAAGGTCAAGTAAATCAGTGGACGACATTCTCAGTCCTATGAAAAATAAAAGATTTTAGATAATATAAATATATTCATACTATCATAAAGCCATGATTGATTATGAATGATTTAATTCACTGCCAATTGGTCTTTAAAACAATTGATGGATTTGGTAACTTTCAGTAATCAATACATGTCACCAACATAAAGGTGTAGAAATGCAAGCAGAGTAACGGATGACGACCAGAGATTTTTTTTTCGCTCCTGTGCTCTATGCCATGAGTTGTTCTCTTCTTGGCTAGCGGGCAGGAAAACTAATTGTCCCTCTGTAACAAGAACTCATCTGGCCTAAGTTGGACACTAGTGGGAAGTAGCTGAAGACTTAATATGAGTGTGTGGGAGAGATAATGTTTCTCAAGCATCAAGTGATTCATTCATTACACCAAGCATAAGCTACCCATCAAATAAAATTGACCGGAGGCCTAGGTCGATTCATACTCGTACTCTTAGCTATTGGGGAAGTAGCAAACTTAATGTCACACAGTTCTCCTCTTCCTGTACATACATGTTGTGAACTATGCTGGCTTTCATTCGACTGTAACCACAAGGCATTCAGCAGTAAGGATGGCCACCATAAGTCTTACTTTTGGCATCATGGCAAAAAACACACCAAACTATATGAACTACCACGACCCTAAAATTGCAGGTTAGGCCAAATTAGTGTAGTTACCAGTAGCTAAGGCACAAATTTCAATTCTTCACTGTTTTCAGATTGAATTTGTGCCCCTACCCCGATAGGAATGCTTCTATCAATTGCACGTACTGACATTCTATATAAACGTGGTCTTTTGAATCATCTGATGATGCGGATCCTCAGTAAGTAATGCCTTCCCTGTTCTCCATTTACCATGTGTACCGGGTACGCATTAAAACCGAAAACAGGTCACAAAGCATAAGGCTTCGTGACTAGCTACAGATCGCACACTGTGCATCGAACAAGCGTCGGTCTAGGCCTATCACAGCCTCAATCGACTCGTGGGCACATCCGCATTAGCTCCTCCATCGATGTAGAAACAAGGAATCCGTCTAGCTCACTAAAAAATGAATCCGAATCCCCCTCCCTCACACGCGAAACACAACTCTCAAGAGACTTTCGAAGCCAAAAAAAGTTCCCTCAAGTTAGGTTTGAACGACGGCGGGCCGACCCACGTGCCTCCTTGAGGCCTCCGCGCGCCACCATCTTCTCTGTCGGGCTGCAGTCTTGCCCGTTGACGATCTCGGGCACCTGGGCGTGTCGTCCGCGCCACAGTCGAGATTATGCGCAGTAAACAATGTTATAATAATTATTGCAGGGCGAGAAGTAATAATGCCATTAATGGACATATGCTTCTCGTTTTTTTTCCTTCCTTAAGCTTTTTCATCGATCAACCTGTGAAGCACCAAGTAAAGTTCTGTTGCGCTCGAGGGACGTCATTTCGCATTTTACATTATCATGCCTTCAGACGGACGAAATGGGGGCAGTCTGGCCCATGCTAAGTTTCATTCTTTATTGGTGGCCTTATTTTCCTGAATTCCCTTCGTATGTTTTTTTCGAATATCGCCAAGATGGCCCCCTACTGCTGCGACGAAAATGTGAACTCATCTTCGGAGCCAGCGGCTAGATCTGTAGCCAACGTCTCGTATGGGAAAGAACCATCATAGGTTAAAGGTTGCACATCGATACTCTCTAAAAAAAAAATAATACTTCTCAGATATCCTGCAGTCGGAGGTCTAGGCAAGTGCCTCTCGCTGTAGCACGCATCTCACCGGTTTTTTTTTAATTATTTGATGGAAGGCAAACTTGTATTTTTTATCTTTTCTCTTGGGACGATCTGGTTCTACAAACAGTGATACATTGTTATTCACTTGTGGCTCACTTTTTTCCCTTGAGGGTGATTCCATCGTGACTAAGAATCGGGCGCAGAGTACATGTATAGCCAGTTTTCATCCCTCAATGTAAATATTTTTCCTTCATGGAGAATCCATCTTGCACTTACTGTTCAGCACTTTAGCACACATAAACAATACAAATTCATGCCAGTGGAATTGCTTGAAGCATGTGTGACAAACATAACTCTAAAAGGACAAGTTGATTCCCACATCAAATGTTCCTCTTGAATGCTCTGAATATAGAATTCTTCATGCAACCCAATTTGCCATGTACCTTCTCCAGGTTTTGTTCTACCATTATGCGATGAAGGTCGTGTGTACATGATGTCTTTAGATGAAAAGAATGATGTTGAATGAATCTGGTTGCTGCGACTAACAGAACTCTGCTCTTTTAATTGCTGCATTGCTTTCCCTTAAGAATGTTTGGTCTTAAAAGGAGATTGCCCTGTTGATGTTCGAAAATCTCGAAATACCAATTCATGAATGTGTTGCTAGAATATATTATTCGAATATCCACTCAGATTAATTACGATATGCTTACCGTGTTGCATATCGTTTACGTGTTGCAAACAGCATTCTTTTTCCTCTCTCACATTTTTCTTCTCCTATTGTTAGATGTTCCCCTGTGCCTTGCAAAAAAGGCTCCATCCTTTCACTTTCAGAACATAATGCCTTCATTAAGGCATTGCATTTTGAAAGCAGCAATTTGATCTATATTAGCATCTGAAAGAAACTTTGCTAGGGAATTTGCTCACACATGTAACAGGATTTGCAATGACATTATATTTGCCTTTTGCTGTCATGTCATCGTGTGCTCAAAGGTTGGCAAGTACATGCATATAATTTTCAGGCAGTGATTTACTTTTTCAAAAAAAGTCTGGTATAATGCCATCACAACTCCTACTATACGGACGAGCCCTATATATACATAACATTAAAATTTCTGGTTGCTAATAAAGATTCTTATTTTCTTGGCATCTTGGTGCTCTACTTCCCCTTCCCTCCAACTGTTTTCTTTGCTATGATTTACATTGACTTTCCAGGATAGATTGGAGATACTTTATCATAGTACCTTTACCTGATGATGGGAATGCAAAGAACTAGAGAGGTTTATTGACTCGTTACGTTAGTCACATCATCATGTTATGCTAGCACAAAATAAGATGTTATGTTAGTCCCATAATAAAGTGTTATGTTAGTCACAAAATAAAATGCTATGTTAGTCATGCCCTTTCTGAGCCTAGGCAGCATCCTATCAAGAAGGCAAAATATCCATGAGAAGGAGTAGGACCTGGGGTAAGGGATGATGTTCAGTTTGTGGATAGATTCCAATCAGTGATGGCATAAATACAAAGTTATTCATTTTGTGTGACTAATATAATACTGTTATTCTACTTTAGGCCTATTCAAATACATGAGAGAAAGAAGCATGAGACTAAGCCTAATTATATCTGAAGATGATACAGCTCATGATTACATCATTTTACATCAGGTAGTTTGGTTGTTATATGCAAAAACTAGCCCTATAAAAGCAAAAATTTGAATAAAATAAGCAGATCCAGGGGGTGACACTTAAGACCATTGGCATTTTTGGGGGAGTGGCCATTTTAACACTTTGGTCATTCTATCATGTGTCGCTGATATCTATCTTTCAGTGTATGGTCATAGTATGCCATATCTAGACTTTTTTTGTTTTGGCCGCAGGGTTGACCTTAGCGTGGAATTGCCCTTGAAGCTGATGCTCATGCATGAGAAGTGCCATTTGTAGCTGTCAGAGTATGATAACATTTGTATTACTATGGTCATATGTGAAACTATGAACTTTGTAGTAAATGAGTGTGGAACAGGATTTTCAGATCAGCTGGAAGGCATGTAGAATATCTCTGCTGAAGTATTCCTTCTGACTGCTGTATTTGACCACACTCATTTGGCTGGCAACTAATGTTCCATGTATTATGTCAGAAATCATCTTGTTTGAAAATACTAGTATTATCGTTCTTGCACTTCTTTCTGTTCCCAAAAATAAATTATACTTATTATCTGTTACTGAAATTAAAATTTTATTGGTTGTTCCTTCATTATATATATCTATATGTAAGCATATATATTCAGGTATTCAGCATGTTAAGAAGAGTTTTCTGAACCTAGAATGTCCTGAGGTTCAAAGCAATTGATTTCCTTATACATATATATGTTAGACACCAACCTTGCTTTTTGCAGGTTTGCTGGTGTTATTGCCAGAATTTTTTTGGAACTTTGGTGTTTGTAGTCCTGTTGTAGGACTCTCACATTCAAATCATGTTTTTGACCCGATCAGAGTACGACCGTGGAGTGAACACGTTTTCCCCTGAGGGACGCCTTTTTCAGGTGAGCGTTCATTTAGATTTATTGCTTCTCTCAAGTTATTTACTATCAATCCAATAAAGGCTTTCCTTTTCTTGCTTCATTGATTCATGAATGAACTCCCTGTAAATAATCAGTCATGCACTGAGAAAGTGGTATGGAATCTACTCCCTCAGGTGAGGTTAGTGGTGAAAGCTTATTTTTGATCTTGGGTATTATTTTCATGTATCAGTATTACAGTTTGCTCACCATCCAATTTCTTGAGGATATTTCTTGGTCTTGTGATTTGTCTCTTCTGATTTTGTAATATTGGGGTCTTTTACAAAGGCCTCATGGATATGTAGAAGGTCACTGCTCACCATGGTGTGCCTTATAAGGAATGGATGCAAATACAAAGTTTTTCTTGCAGAGGAGGTATCTCATTCATACAGAATGTTAGTCCAACAAGCAAATCTGTGAAAGTGGTTCCCCTCCCTCTCCACTAATGTCAAGTTTTGCAGTTTTCAGTTAGTATCCTGTTCCCATATTAATGTATCTGCTGGTGCTTGTCATACTAATGAGGGACATGAACAATGTAAAGAATTTGCAGATAATACTCATGACTGAATGGACCTGACAGACTTGAATGAAAGTGCAAAAATTGCAGAGATAAGACTGTAAATCTCAAGAGTCTCAGATGAGAAGCAGAATGAAGAGCATGTTGTGTCATTTATATTCAACAGTCATAGGTATCTGCAAGTTAGAGACTGGTATTTTGAGTACCATCCAAATACCAATTGGATGTCTTATTTTCAATTAATTTTCTGAAATTCACTTAGCAAATTATGCACAGAGTGTCTGTCTATAAGACAGTGATATATACCTAATACCTGATAGATATGCATACCTTAGCAGAGTTATACACCAGTCAAACTTATTTACTGACTGATCTTTCTGACTAGAGACTATTTATGTGTGATTCCCCTGGGTGAAGGTAGAGACATAAGTTTTAGTTAATATACTGTTGAAGTGGAATTTTCTCCTTTTACTACAATTTTGTTTCTGTGGTATTTTGATGGTGTTCACCATATTCAGGTTGAGTAATTTCTTAAGCATGGAAGTGACTGACTTGTATATTTTCATGTGTTTGGAAAGAAGATATTCTCTCTATGTATTGCCAGAAGTCCAACTTGGGATGTATTCAATTGTGCCTTTTGGCTAAATTACATTCAAGCTCTGCCATTGGATATATGCAACCAACATTTTCCTGTTGATGGTTGTGCACTTTGCAGCTTTGGAAATTAATTTTCCTCAAATCAGATTGGATAAGAATATTTTTTTTATCCATTAAAGAACTTTGCTTTATAGCAGGAGTGGCCAAAGTGTGGCTCATGAGCCACATTCAGCAAGCAAAGTACCATAGAAAACATCTATTTTGGCCACCCTTGCTTTATAGGCAATTTATATTCAATTGAGAAGTTTAGACTGGCTTAAATGGCCTACAGTTAAGGAAGAGCTTGAAAATAGGCCAGCTGTGATTTCCTTCTATTCAACACTGGCTGAAAATAGATTTGTGAACATCTAATTGAGAGTCCAGAGTCTTGTTCCTGGTATTTTGCATTAAGTAATAATTTCATAATGGTAATGGTACTTACTGAGGACTGATGTGGAGTTCTATTTTTGATGCAGGTGGAGTATGCAATAGAAGCAATAAAGTTGGGTTCCACGGCAATTGGGATCCAGACAGCAGAGGGAGTCATATTGGCTGTTGAGAAGCGTATCACATCCCCTCTCATGGAACCTACAACCATTGAGAAAGTTGTTGAAATTGACAAGCACGTTGGTAAGTACTATCCATAGCTTGGCATCTTTTTTGTCTCATGCTGTGCTCTTACAACACACTCCAAACCTGCAAGGGATTATAGAAATGTAAATGTTCCCCGAAGTCTATGCATTAATGATTTTTAAAGTTTCCAAAGGACCCTGACCTTGTCTGTATTTTGTCTCTTGGGAGCTCACACTTATGATGTCATTATGCAAAATCAGCATATTTACGACTTATTTCCTCCTGACAAAAATCCCAAATGGACTTGCTTACTCTGAAGAGATTATTTGTGTGCTTCAAATTGCAGTCATTTCAGTCTGCATAATACTTTTGTAACTGGAATCATGAATAAAGGGTCTGCAAGAAATTAATCACATGTTGAAAAATGATTTTAAGTTTGATCGGATTTAAAGGGAAAGTGTTTGCATTTTGTTATCTTCTGACTCCTGCATCTTCCATAAATATACTGGACCTCTCTGATTTGATCCATCCCAGTCAATTCCAGATACAGATGATATGAATTTAATTCATGCCCTAATTTCAAGTAGTTAGAAAATATGTTTGAATGGTTTTAAAATATGTCTTGAGCTATAAGCAAAAGCCCAAATAAACTCAAGCCCATAAAAATATTTATTCAACCTTCAATCATGACCAGTTTTCTGCTCTCAATTCAATCAAGTTTTTTGTGTTTCTAGGTTGTGCAGTGAGTGGACTGATCGCAGATGCCCGAACCATGGTGGATCGTGCACGGATTGAAGCACAGAATCATTGGTTTGTGTATGGGGAGAAGATGTCTGTGGAGTCAGTGGCTCAGGCAGTCTCCAATCTTGCCATACAGTTTGGAGACTCTGATGATGATGGTGCAGCAATGGTAAGTATGAAGATGGACATAAAATGTCTGTTCACTACCTGAGACCCAGTGCCATGCATTGAATTTGGTTTTGTATTGCTGCCTCTTTCACTGTAAGTTATTGTGGTGTTTGTGTGGGATGAGTGATATACAGGCAGAAATCTAGAGCATTACATGCCTAGTCTTTTCAAAATTAATACAAAATGGACATGGTTGTATTTTGGCTAGTGCATACATTTAACTGTCATTAAAAAAATTTTTTATTATTGTTATTGATGTGTGACTGCTGAGTAGTAGAAAGATGAGGCAACTTGATTATGACATATTATATAGTAATGTACTGCCTCTTCAAGCAAGAGGAAGAGTTAAGTTTGATGAAATGTTACATACCTTCATCATTGACATTGAAAAAGCTTGAATTTTTGTCTCATCAGAGTCGACCATTTGGAGTGGCAATTCTCTTTGCTGGCTGCGATGAGCTGGGTCCTCAGTTGTATCACATGGATCCTTCAGGAACCTTTGTCCAATATGATGCTAAGGCCATTGGATCTGGGAGCGAGGGAGCTCAGCAAAGCTTGAAGGAAATCTACCACAAGGTGAGCTCAGATTAGGTTTTAGCATGCCTCTGTTCTTAAAAGCAGAAATGAGGTTTCTTATGTAGTTACTGGTGTCTGTCTGTATAAGGTATAATATTTTTTGTGTTTGTTGGAATGCTTCTTTTCATGAGTAAAATTTGCCCCATACTCCTTGTGCTATGGAAACATAGGCCTCCCAGGGGAGGAGCATAGAAATGGTCCAAATACAACTGTGAGAATTAATGGTTATTATCAGTATCAGAATACCTATCACTCTTGACAATCATGAGCCCAGGCCTCAGGACAAGTGCTGTGGTGCTGTGGAATACAGTGCTACAGATGATGATTGACCAGGGGTCATTTACAAGTCAGTCATCATCAATGTGCAGTGCATAAGCTAGACCAAACTTCACTCAACAGCAAGAAATGTCAAGAGTCACAACTTTCAAATAGCAAAGAAACTAACACCCCAAAATGTGAAAAAAATAGAATCTACATGGTCTGCAATTTTTTTCATGTTGAAAAAAAGGAAGGAAAATCAAGTCTAGCTGCTAGAGGGAAGGTAATATTGTTTGCCGATTGGAATAAATAAATAATTTTATTTGTTGATTTAAAAAAAAAAGTTTTTGCTCCTTCAATCAATCAATTTAGTTTTTTTTTTACCATACATTGACTAGATAAAAAGGAAAATGTAGAGGCTTTTTTAATTACAGACTAAATTTGTCTGGATGGAATAACTATTTCAACTTGGGCTTTGTGAATGTAAATTTTTAATTTTCCCATGTATTGCTTCCTGTCCCTAGTAATCATAATGGCTATTTGCATGCATTGCCATCCTTATCTGCCATTCCAAAAGCACACATTTCTTCATAATTTTAGTATGGGATGATGGACAATCAAAGTAAGGAAGTGAATGCATCAGCTTGAGGGAGTGCATTCCATGGAAATAAATCACTTAGACCAGTGCATTAATTTGACTCCACCATCTCGCATTCAAAAGTAACCTCTTCCTGAATGTATTTTGAAGCATTCAGCTTGTCTGATCTGTGACCCTTTTATATGACAGGGGATGACACTGCAAGAGGCCCTCAAAGCTGCACTCACGATCTTGAAGCAGGTGATGGAAGAGAAGTTGAATTCCACGAATGTTGAAGTGGGTGCAGTCACACCCACCAAGTCATTCCATCTCTTCACCAAAGAACAAGTGGAAGAAGTCATACAAGGCATATGAATGCATAACAAGGCTGCTTTTCTTGCTCTGGGTCATTTCCAACCTTGATACATGTCTATTGTTGCCTGAATTTATCTTGATGGCATCTTGTGAACATTGAAATAAAAGGGTCACTTTTATGGCAACTTGTAGTTCACCTTTTTGTTGGAGGAAGCATGAATTCTGGTTTCATATGACCATGTTACATCTGGTAATATTCAGACCTTTAACATCTATAGCTCTGACTTCCTATTGATTGGCTGAGTTGGCATAGACATCTGCTTGTTTGTAATATCTGAAGATGATAGACTCATTTCCTTCATTTATTGCACTCCCAAAATGTTCTTCATGCATGCATATCCTAATTGGATATTGCAGGAAGTTGTCTTAAATGGATTGTACTGATGCCTTTTGCCATTTCTTCCTAGTGGCATTTTCCTCTAAAATGCAGATCTTGTGAGGACAACTGGAGTAACCATAGAATCTTTATTCATTGATCCACCTGTAGGGTCCACCTCATCTGTTTGGACATTAGTCTCATTTTTTAATCATTGGTAGATGTTAACTTCTGGAATCTGTGATAAAGGAAAATGCCAGTTGATGCCCTTTTATTGCAAACAAACATTTTAATGCATATAAAGCATGATGAATGACACAGGTTGATGAAACTGCAGCAAGTGATGGGGACTTTCCTTCTGAGAATAGCTTGGAGGGTGGCATTTCTCAGCATGGTAGGTAGTGAATTGAAGAGGGCAAGATCTGACAGTGACATGAGTGACCAGGACCGTTCCCAATGGGTCAGCCCGCATGACCTCAAGAGGCATGATCAAAGTGTCTGGCGTCACCCACATGGCTACAGTGAGCCTTCAATGCGCGACATGCAACAAGCTGCAAGCGCAGAATCTCCACCTTCGATGTTGTCCTTGCCACTGCAGAGGTGGGACCATTCTCCGCCATTTTATTCCTTTTGCTCCATTTGAGCAAAAGCTTTTGCAGCTTGCTGTGTTGTCACAGAAAATGGGATTCTCAGTATGAAATTTGCCATTACTCCCTTGGCCAAATGTGACCACTGGTACAGCCCTATACAAAACCTAGCCACTAAAAGTTCTGCCCTGTCATAATTTATCTCATAATTCGTATCACTGTTGTCTAAACATGCTCTATGATCATCCAGAGGCCAATGGGAAAGGACTTCATGAACTCTTACTGAACTTAAAATTCTTCCAACCCAAATGAACTCTGGAATTCCCAATCTCGCAAAAGGCTCTGTTTATTTGTTGCATTATGTGTATTGCGTTATGTTGTATTATATGTATGGTGTATGTGTGCTCTATTTTTGCTCAAAGAGAAAAACCATTTGGTATTCCCATTTGAACTTTGCCTTTGTCACACTTTGACCTATTTGTATCAGGAGGAAAAAAAAGTTGCTAAACTGAACCAAATCCAAGCCCATAGATAAACTGAATTTCACTAAATCTAGAAGAAATTCAGATCTCTAAGTTGCAGTCAATATGCCCATACAGTCATGAAGTCAGTGCTCTTATGTTGGAATTGCTGTCTGCTCATTCATTGGCTCCAATTGAACTTACTTGAGGCCACTGATGGTACATTGGCATTAACAGGCATTCCTTTCTTACTTCTATTGCTATGAGTATTACATCAATAGGGCTACTTGATTTCTCCAACTGGAATTGTGATAAAGGCACATAAGAGGGGTGATTAATTCTCATCTTTTTCTCTGCAGGGAATATTGCCCTTGCCAAGAAAGGTCAGAAGAACCAAAATTGCCTGACTATCTAGCATATTGGAAGCGGCACATTAGAAGACTTCTGTCCATCTTTTCTGGCCACAATGTAAACTCTTTTCATCCTTTTTATTTCTTCATATTTGACCATTCATGCTGTTTTTTTAATTTTGTGTTTCATGTTTTCAAATGAGAAAATCACACATATCTCTCATCTCATTCGTCATCATCTTATTATAAGAATGTCGAGAGTAGTGACTAGTGTGAGACTTTCTTGCAGGTGACCAGTGACGGAGGGGACGGCATGAGGATGGACATGCCGCTTCATCTCACAGCAGATGCTATGAGGATCCTTGAAGCTTTCCTTGCCTCTGACCCCAAGAGCACCGTCAGCATGTCTGATGTCGATGAAGTCCTCGAAGAGCTCCTCAATCCTGGACTCAGGCGAAATCCAGTCTCTTCCTGGAGAAAACTTGTCGAAGAATTAGAATATGTCTTCAATCGCCTGTGTATTATACCCTCCAGTATAATGGTAAACTATGTTCATTACTTTATATTGATATGATCATAAGATGTGAAAATAAGGGAAGTGTGAGTATGCACAAACAATTGCCTGGGCAAGATGAGAAATTATTATTGCAGGCAGAATCCTGATTCAACATGACTTGCTTGCTAACTGCATAATTTTTATGTCTCTTGTTGAAGCCCTCATTGGCATGAAGGTTCAAATTGCCAAATCAAGAGCATGTCAAAATATTCAAGAGACAACTGACAGCAGTCAGTGAAAAAAGAAATGTCAAATTCTGTAAGACATCTGAGGCTGAGAAACAAAGAACATGAGACTTTGACCAACTGGTCCTCAAACTGAACTAACCTGACAGCAAAGGAGTGAACTGAGAAAACTAGAACCATTTTTATGGATAGGCTGTGAATGCAAACATGAATAGTGGTGGTTTCCATTTTGAACGCAAAACTTGACGTTCATAACATCAATCCCCTCAACATTGGAAAACAATGCAGGCTCTTCAGGTGTTGGGCCAATATAATGACAACTGTGGAATGTGATGTTACAGGGGAATATAAGCTTCACTGCAGTTTTTGGGACGTTTGCTGTCGTGTCTTTGATCCTCTTGATTCACGGGTGCCTGTCTGGATGGACGTGGAGGAAGCTCCTCATGCTCTTCTTCATCTCTGTCTTCAGTGCCAGTCTTCTCTTCAACTGGATTCTTCTTTATCAGGTCAGATATCCTCCAGTAGCGAGTGTGATTTCTTTTCATTAGTCTTTGTATTGTATAATGCAAGTTTGAAAATGGGAAAAAATTTCACTTGAATGAATTGAAAGAATATCATTTGAACTCCTCATCTAGTCTGTACAGTTTGCGAGATTACTGCCACATAGCAGCACATCTGAATCCTTTTCACCTCAGAGTACAGATTTCACTCATGAATTTTGAAATGAGAAGAAATTTCTGAGAATGTTTCATGCTTCTGAAGGTGAACTTTTCTGTGTACAATTCATGTTACAGAAGAAATTGAGTGAGAGGCATCAGACCTTGGATGCTGGGATCCCGTCAGAGTGCCAAGAAAACCGTTCCTTCTTCTTTTCCATCTTCCGCAGCATCAAAGCCAACCTCTTTGGAGGTCTGTTTCATTCTCCTCCATTGCCATGAAGGATTTTCTCTCATGAATATGATCAGATCATCATTAGAATCTCAAATTTTGTGATTTTTTGAAACAGTTACATTTGGTCAGGGATCCATTGGGAAAATCCTTGAAGCAGGCAAGTTGCCACTGCAAATAGGCATAGTACACTAGTGAATTGTGGGAGTGGGGGAATATTGACGCCTATGTAGACATGAGCCTCTATCCTCTGTAATAAGGAATGGACACCTACTTTATTATTGTGGTGGAATCTGGAAGGTGTGGTGGGCTGGAGGAATGCCATCATTTCAATTATGTCTATGCTGATTTTGAGAGAGGGATTCAAGAGCGGTCCCAGCCCAGGCATAGGGGGAAGCCAAAGATTCTTTGGGAATACAGGAGGAGGCCAAATTCCTGTGGAGAAGTCTGCATGTAGCATTTAGTAGGGGTCTTTGGCTTAGTCTATGGAAACTACAGTCTCAAACTTAACTTTCTTGCATCATTGGCTATCATTTTAGTCTGCTTTTAGTAGGCTTGCATTGTCAGCAACAGCCACGATTGAACTTAATCTTAATTGAAGTATTTACCAGTGAATTTCATTTTGGCATGAATATTTGATGTGACTTTTTGTTGTATGAATAAATCCAATGTAAATTCCTTCTTCTCCACTTGATAGTCAAAGCCATCTACAGGAATCAGGGATTGCCGAATATAAACTCCATCAGATTAGTGAATGCTAACTCTTATTTGTTGGGCATTCAGGGAATTCAAAGTATTCCTGAAGTTTCTCATGTTTTTCCACCTAGTCATCTTAAAATTCAACAGGTCTCTTGTATTGTAATTTTTTATGTTCATGGCATTTAAGTTCTGACCAGCTGAAGTAGAATGAGGGGATGAACAATAATTCTGAGAGTATTATAAAGCATTGAAGGTATTGCAGAGCATTGCCATATTCAAAGTTGATATATTTTGGAAGATTTTGTCATGCTATCGGTCGTTAAAAAAAAAAAAGGCTTTCATTCACGGGGATTTTCATTTTAGGTTTCATCCATTGATTTAACTATGTACCAGTTAGTTTGCATTCTTATAGTTAGAAATCTTGTGATTTATTTGCTTTGGAACATTTTACTGAAATTTAGGTAAGTAAATCAGAGATGGAACCTGTTTTTATTGGGTCCTTCAATTTTATTTTTCCTCCTTATGTCTCTCGATGCCCTGTGACGAATAACTTCATACCTATATATATCGTTGAAATGAGTTCCATCCATCAATCTTATTTTTTGCAGCCTATGGGAGCAGAGCAAATTGTGAAGAATACATGAAGGCCTTGTATGTAGACCCAATGCTGGAAGTGTCTCCTGGTGTTGTCGTTGCAGAGACTCTGGCCCAGTTTATCCTTCATCCCTTGGAACGAATGGGCAGTGAGCTTGCCAAGTTCCAAGGAGCCATTGTCAGTAAGTACTGCTTGCTTTGTCCTCATCTTGAAAGCTAAAGAAAGGTCCTCTATGTATCACCTGTGAACCCAATTAAATAGTCTTTATATCATTTTCTTATTGGTAGCCTAAACAATTTGTTTTTTCAGGTGCAGATTGCCTGCTTTTTAAAATTTTCTAACCTTTGAATTCCATTACTAGAGACTACGGTTGCTACTGTTGAGGGAATTTAACTGATTACCAATATAACCAGGTTGGACAGCCCTGCTCTAGGAACTAAATTTGGGCTATACAGTGGTGGATAGCTTCATATGACTGCTGTCACATAGGACACATTAATATCATTGTTATTTTACTGCTGCCCCTATTCTGTTGAAGATAGACAGCAAGTTTTTATCAATAAGTTTAACCCAGGATTTGAATATCTGACTGGCCTATCAATTCATTTAGATTGAAAGTGGATATATGAGACCAATTATGGCAATCAATTGGCTTTTTTATTGGTTCATGAATTCATTACTAATATCCACTATGGGCATTGGATTCATTTTAATATATAGTGAGAGATGAGAGATTTTATGAAGGATGGGAAATAATTATTTGCAGGTGAAGTTGGATGGATGGGATCCATAGTGGTGCTTGCACTTTTCATCATTCTGGTGATCGTTGTACTCTTGGTGGGATGCGGCTACTCGTTCCAAGTGTGGCCTTTCATCCGCATCTCTCCGACTCCGTCTTACCAACGCCAACTCTCACGTCAGCAACCCCAGGTTTTTCACCCTCTGCTTGCTCTTCCCTAAGCTCCTCTGACCCATCAAGCCAGAATGACATTCCTCGATGTAATTTTTTTTGCGTAACAGGAGTGCAGAAACTTCCAGCAATGAGGTTGATGTATGGGTGTAGTTGAGGGAAAACAAAAGAGTTACCCGGTAAATAAAACCAACTTTCAAAAGAATAGAACTGGAAGTTCAAGAAATCCAAGCTTTTATTTTATTATTTTAAAACCTTATCTGCTTTCCTCTGTGTATCTCCTTGTTTTCCATGACTGCACTTGTGCCTCAATGTTGTCATGATGATAATCCATAGTACAAGAGTCACTCCAAAATGGATGCCTCCAATTTTATTTTATATTTTGAGTTTTTATGCTGTAAAAATTCAAAATGATAATTACTGTTAACATTCAAATCTTCTGCAAAGTGACATGAAGTGTCACTGTATTCTGCGAGGGGGCAGAGAGCTTACAGTCCTTCAGAGTGGCTGCTACATGTGATGTACCAATGAAACAGAGAGCTATAATTGAATTTTTCACAGCTGAAGGTGTAGTGCAGCTGTTATTCACCATTGCATAATTACTTTTTATGGTGAACCGTGTCTCCGTGTCTTGCCTCGAGAGCTGCAAGATGCTGAGTTTCATGGAAAGCATTTTGAAGACAATGATGCAGTAAAACAGAGTTTTCCAAGTGGTTGCATGAAGTAGATAAATCCTTTTACCATGCTGACATACAATGCCTTGTTCAACATTGACGAAAATGTATTGAAAGGGATGGAGACTATGAGGGAAAATAACTAAACAATCTAGTAAGTTGTATGAACTTTTTGTGATGTTTGTGTTTCAGTACAACAAAGGCTCAGGTGGGAGAAAGGTCAGAGGCATCTACTTTGGGTTAACTCTCATTATTAGGTTTAAAAAAAGCAACCTGTTGAACATCAGTCATCATCAGTCAGCAATCATTTGGTGCTATTACTTGAGGTAAAAAAAAAAAGAGAAATTGTTGTTTCTTGAGGGAAGATATTGCAGAAAATACAGGGTGCATCTTGAGGAAATCTCTATTCAGAGTCCCAAATTCTCTGTGAGGACCTACAAAAAAGACTGTAGTCTCATGTAATGTGGGGTCTATCTAAGAAATCTGACAGCCTCTCATGCGTGTTTGTGCACATAATTTGAAATTTTACATGCCTGAGATTTAGAGAAATACTGGCTTGAGGGGTTAAGTCTTCTCTTTTTCTCTGTTGTCATAAACTCTTGATAGGATATTGAGAGCATAGTCAGAGATGTAATTGAAGAGACAAGAGGAATCTCTGTCTCCTGCAGGCAGTGGCTGCTGTGTTTAAAGTCCATCTTTTCTGATGAACTCCCTGAGTTTCTGGAACACAAAGGGGAAGCATGCATGCATTGATGAGGTTTGTAAGAGTTAAAGCGGATAGATAGTATAGAGCAACGTGTGCATGCCTCCAGTTGATGTTTGTGTGGGTGGAAACCTGGAACGAGGTTTTTGCAAATCAGTGGATCTATCAACAGGCGGAGGAGGTGATCCGACAGTACGTGCAAGATGTGTTGCGAGATGCCCTGCCTGCTGTGCAGCACAGCCAATCGGAATCCACGCTCGCGCATCTTGGCGTCCGCCCTCGCTCCCAGATCGCGATGCATCATGAGAGCCTTGCCGAAGTGGACCCAGGGGATAGAGATACCTCGAGACGCTCTCTTCTCCTACGTCGGCATCGCTCCCTCCAAGCCCCACAGGGGAACGCGAACGACGTGGTGGAGACCCTGGAACGCCTGGTGCGGCTCCGCTGCTCCACCACCCTTCCTCCGTCTGTGTGTCAGCAGCTGGAGATAGCGGAACAGTACCTGGAGCGGGTGGCCTTGGGTGACCACCTGTCGTCATCCGAGGAAGGGACGGCTCGACCCGATTCCCACGTCGAGAATTCTCCACTGATCAGGAAGATGAAATCCATGTTGGACGTGGATGAAGTCGGCCAGGAGCCCAATCATGCAGACGGTTCTTAAAATTCTCATCCTCCACTTTGACCTCACGATGTTTTTATTTTTCTTGGACTCTGTCGGACTTGGTTTTATTGATTGGGGGGACTCGTACTGCATGCCTGGTTAGGTCTGCTTCGTGCATACACTGTGAGCCAGAATGTGTCTTGAAGCCAAAGTTGTGAGTTTTCTTCGGTTGTGATAGGAGACGCCCTGATTTTACATTCACAAAAGTTGTGATCGTGGTTTAAAAAAAATTGCAGATAATGGATAGGATGCACCAGATCTGTTTTACTTTAAACTGTTTTGGTTTCATAATGGGCGTCTTTGGGAATAAGGTAATCTCTGTCAAACCAATTCTCATCGGGCCCCATTGCGAAACCTGATTAGCTTGCATTCAATAGATCTGGCGCATGTCACCCCCTGACAGCTTGGATTCCATGTGCTGAGGCCAGGAGAATTCAGGGACAAAAAAAAATGTTCAGAGCCCTTCCACAAAGTTTTTATTATTTTTTATTTTTTCGTTGTGCCTACCATTGTCTCCCCTCACTTACTTTCACTTTTTCACACAGTTTCCACAGGTTTCCTCGTCCAATTTCCATCGCATTGCCATCGCTGTATCAGTTGCCAAAGCTCTTCCCTCTTTTGCAAACCGAGAGTTCAAAAACGGGTCCTGGCCCGAACCGGAACGTCGTGAAACGAGTCTCGCAACCAAAATCCTCCTCGAGGGGTGCTCTTCTTTTCTATTGATAGTTGATGATAGGACTCTGTCTGTGATATGCTTTGTATTGCTTTGCATGAAACTTGCCTCTTGTGAAACCGTCATGAGGTGGACAATAAAAGGGACTCAAGTGTCGACATCGGTTTGTTTGCTTGCAAATGACAACGAAACGCATGACAATGAATTTTGCAGAGTGCCTGGCAGTCTCTGTTCTTCAAAAATGAAACGGGTAAATAATGATAAAAAATAGATACTTGCCATGGAAGTCACGGGTAAGACCGAATAATCATCGATTTGCCAGTCGATCAGTCATGAACTTCCAATTCACAAAGCCAATTTGAGAGTCAGTGTTTGCCCATAATGGCTGGATCGTAGCCCATGATAGATTGATGAAAAAAAAATATTTTAAAAAAGCCATTTCGCATCACTTCTTCAGCAAATATGGCCCTTTTCCCGTTGATTCAGCTCGGGGTTCCCGGCTGCGATCACGCCGAATCGTCCAAAATCTCTCTCTCCCTTCTTTCGTTCGATTTATCATGTATGAGGACCCTTGAAGGAGTCTCGACAGGACGAAGGAAAAATGGAAGAGTCCATAACAGAGTCCCCCCCTCTCTTTTTTTAAATGTATTTAGATGGTATTTCAGGGTAACTTTTAAATTTCCCATGTTTTTTCATGCATTTTCATTAAGATTTAATGTATTCTCCGCTTGCCTTTGCATCTGCAAAAAAATTGCTTGAAATTTGCCCATGGAATCCAGAGATACGAGCGAGATGTCCTTCCAGAAAATTTATCGCTTTTTTTTTTTAGCCTCGCGAAAGTTTGTTGAAGAGGCAAAAACATATCGATTGCACAGATCGGCTTCTCGTAACAGGCAATTTTTACTTAATTAAAGGTAAAGTTTGTGCAATTGTATGTTCAAAAATAGATATTCTGATATAAAGGGTGGGCCAAAAAAAACCTTGGGTTATCTTTTTCACTCCACAGCACTGGTCCCCGAGAAGTCAGCTAAAACTGCAATGGCCCCTCCGTATAGAGCATTCATTCAGCTTTCCAACGATATCAAAAGAACAAAGATTCGCGCCACAACTTCGATGCAGTTAGATCACGATCATAATTCGATGCAGTTAGATCACGAGCCCGCGATCGCAGCTAGGCAGGAGGTCGCCCGCTCGCCGTAAGCGAAGGACCGGACGTCACCTGGAGCACATCTCGCAAATTTGAGCCACTGGTAAGTGCACTTTTCAAGCGCTACCTCTGTTACACGGTGCGCAACTGCTTCGGAATGGCGGACAGGACCTTAATTATTTTTACATCAGTGGAAAGCTAGATAAATGTTCGATATAGCGACGTCATTGCAATATTTCCAAACTCTCGAGAAACTACGCCGTAAAGCGTCGAAGATAACCGAATTTTTTTTTGGCCCGCCCTGTATCTCGTTAGCAGACTTTTCTAAACTTACTTCCTTATTAAGTTTTTTTTTTTCCTTCTAACCTCTCTACGCATTTTTGAGTGCGTTTATTTTTTACTGCCGGAAAAAACTTAATTAACCTTAATTAACCAACCTTAATTCTGGACTGGAGAAAGCCGAAGGAAGGCTTAGGAATCATGCAAACCCTCTCTGTAGTTCTTCGCCGGATATCCTCAAACGACTCGCTTCATATCAAAGAATACCTTAGGAGTTACATTCCAAAAAAAATTCTAAGCATCCAAGCGCATCGAATTTTCAGATTAAAAAAAAAACGAATTGAAATGTTATATAACGAATTGCACCTTTTTAAATTTCAAACAGTCAGGTCTTTTTTTTTTCCAAACGAGAACTCCTCTCCGGCTCCTGCGGCACAATTTCCTTTTCCCCCGATGCCCTTTACCCGGTGGTTGAAGTCGCCTGGAGGAGCCAGGCAGTCGGCGCCGGCGGTGCAAATTTCGATGCGTTACCTCACGGAAGTACCTAACGTTTTGGATAGGACTTGCTGAATTTGCGTCACTTAATCGCGTGGAGTAGGATGCTTGGAGCGCGTGGTGTTATGGTCGGGGATTTAACTCTTTCTGTACGAACATTTTAGAAGAAAAAATAATCCCTTGCTGCGTGTGTTTTTAATATCAGGAAAATTGTAATAAGATACGTTTATTTTACATAATTGAACACAATTAACACAATCATTAAGAAATTTTGCGTTTGTTACCACTCATTCTGGTGTCAAAATAGGTGGTACATTAATTTTACCACCATGTTTCAATACATTAAAAGCTGGTGGTACAATTTCTGTACCACCGACCATGAAAAAGAAAGTCGAAAAATCCAGCGGTAGCTATACTTTATTGCCGGAAATCCGAGGGAAGAACAAAGAGTAAAAACCCTAGCGTGCAGTGATCCACGACGCGGATCGCTCGAAAGTGCCACCCCAGATCGTCAGGTGAACGGAAAGACGATCAGAGGAAAAAGCCGACGACGGCCTGGTAGAGACAAGCAAAGAATCCGGTGAGGGCCAACGAGCTTCCAGCGCGTCGACACACGTATCCCAGCTTCTGAGCCATCGCACTTTCAGACACAGCGCCCACCATCGACCACTTGCTCGGCGTAGACGCCACACAGTTGCCAGCCGTGGAATCCGGTTAGCCCGGCACCCAGTCGGTGAAGGCGAGGTCACTGCCGTCCGTCCACTTGAAAGCGCTTCCAGCCGAGTCCCGCTTCGCACCGATCCATATGCCTGCCGACTGGGATGTGGACGAAGCCACGTCCCAGTATGATTGACGCACTACACCTTCAGACGAAAGAAAAACCCACCTTGGAAACATTTCAAAAACCGTCTCTGACGACCTTGCTCATTTCGTCGCGCGATCCTAACGAACACGAGCGGCGGAGCATTCTCGATTGGGTCCCGAGGGTTCGATCTTACTCAAGTTCCAAAATGGATAAACCCAAACGATTCTCGCTTACCTCTCGGGACGATAGCCAAGAAATCTCGCACTTCCGCGTTATCGACTTTGGCCAGGACGGCTCCCTCTTGGGCGCACACTGCGACGGCACCATCCCTGGTGATTTTGTCGAGGATTTCGTACTTGAAGCATCGAGAGCTGTTGAGAACGTAAGGACTGGAACGAGACCCTCCCGTCGTCGGCTTCTCGCAGAAGTAGCCATACAGGTTATTGCAGTTCGTGTTGCGCCATTGCCGAGGGAACATGTAGTAGTACCCCACTGTGGACCGGTTCCATCAAGAATCATGACGAGTAACGAAAGCGTGGACCGAAAGAAGAAGCGACGAAACTCACCTGTAGTTCCAGACGTCGAAGAGTTATCGTCGTTGTTGTACGTACTGCTTCTGACGGTATCTCCGTTTGCAAAGGCACCACCGCTCTTCGTGGCCGCGATCCAGATCGAGGCAAACCTGCTGTTGTCCCCGAAGAGGCGGTTCTCCTCGTCGTCGGCTGGCCTGGCCAGGCTGCCCCCCGCGGCGACACACTGGGCCTTGGCGGCCACCAACGTGCTCGAGTTGCTCGAGGAGAGACAGTACTTCCCGCTGGATTTCCAGCCGCTGGGGCAACTGCTGCCGCCCATCACCACGGCAGGCAGCAGAAGGCCGATCACCCACACCCTTAACAAGTGCATATCAGGAAAACCGGCATGATTCCCATGCAAGAGACCAGTCGGGCGTCAAGACGGATGAAGGGATGAGGGAAGTCTTAACCCCCTTCCCCATACCGTGTCAAATACAAATCGATGCTATTTGCATGATGTTAGAGAGAGGTATTTCGACGAAGTACATAACAATGCGTATTAGAAACGAAGCTCCCAACCCACTCGTAACGTGCAACCATGTGTTCACGAAGCCAAACATTACCTCTGCTGCATATCATTTCGCCAGTATAACTATTTCACGGAAAAAGAAAAATTCAGCTGGAAGGGAGAAACATCTTCACGGCTACGCACTGAAATATCATTTTTCTCCGGGGGGGGGGGGCTTGGCAGGGGGGAAGAATATCGTTCCTGAACCTCTGGAAAGTCGATTCTGAATAATTCCAGGAATTAATATTAATGAGCGAAATTCTCTCGAAAGTGCACGCTGTCATTTCGCCAAAAAAAGCTCATCCTTAGCGACGAAATTGGCTCGATAAGGCTCGAAAAGGGTTAATAAGAGTCGACAACTCGGGTTTTATTTCCTATGGGATTATGAAGCGCGAGTTTAAGATTTAAAGCAGATTATCCAGAACACACTGTTCAGGTTTTCAAAACCTCTGCATTAAGATTAGGAAGATCCTAAAGAGAGCATTTCCGCCTTTTTGAAGGGATCTCAACCGAGGATGAACGAAGCAATAGTTGAAGCTGTGCTTCAGGCAAGCTAAATTTCCTTCTGCCTCCGCACACGGCGGGAAGGAGGAAAAAAAGAGAGATCTGGCTCGCTCTTCAAAGCGGAGGCTGGACTCGGTCTTCAAGCGGAGGCTGGACTCGCCCTTCAAGCGGAGGTTGGACTCGCCCTTCAAGCGGAGGTTGGACTCGCCCTTCAAGCGGAGGTTGGACTCGCACTTCAAGCGGAGGCTGGACTCGCTCTTCAAGCTGAACTCTTGGAAGTGGAGGGAGAGGCCGATGGGGGACGAGTGGGGAACTCTCTCTCTTGCTTCGAGACTGCCGTCGCGTCGCGCTGCACTGCCTGAATGTGGGACTTCTCCTTTTCTTGGAATCGTTTCCAGGAAGAAAAACAACTCATGAATTCAGCTCAACTCGGGCCGATTTCACGCATCGTTTGAAGCCACGAGGATTTGAGAGAGAGAGACTTCTGTTTCCTGAGTCACTTCTAGGAACGACATACTGAATTCAACTCTCGACTCAGGTCAATTTCAAGCCCTGTCAGAGTCGGAATTTCTATTTTTTTATATTTCCTTTCACACTTTTTCCTTCTTTCAAGGGTCTTATCCCCCCCCCCCCTTTTAGTGGCTTTATTTTTCTGAGCTGATCGACCCCATGGGGCTCCTTTTTTTAATGATCCGAGCATGCGCACACGCATGGGAAATATCGGCGATAACAAGTAGAACACTATTTTAAAAAAAAGAAGCGCCTCGAAGCATCCAGTGGGGCAAAGGATGCGAGTTGTGACCATAACCGGGGGCGGGGGGGGGGGGGGGGGGGGGCGCCGATAATAGAAACCAAGCATTTTTCCGCGGTGAAAAAGTATTGAATAAAAAAGTATTGAATTGAAGTGGTGCATATCTTTTCGTTTCTGAGGAAGGATTGGAGCGTCTGTGCCAGCGCCCACAATTAATGGCTTATAGCGCCTTCAAAACTGCTCCCTGTGATTCTAACCATTTGGGCAAAACCACCAAAATTCGGAGACTACCGTACATTAAAAAAAAAGAAGCATTCGCGAGGTCGCCCTCAGTGAGAATTCTTCCCAGCAGGGCTGGGTAACGAAACAGAAACGAAATGAGAAACGAAACAGAAACGGAATTTGATGTTGTAACGAAACAAAACCAGAAACAGAATCAAAGAAACTGAAACGAAATACTGTAGAAACGAAATAGAAACGAAATACTGTAGAAACGAAATAGAAACGAAATGGAAACGAAATACTGTAGAAACGAAATAGAAACGAAATGGAAACAAAATACTGTAGAAACGAAATAAAAACGAAATGGAAACGAAATCTAGATGATGATAATAACGATATTCGATTGAGCTTTTCTTCCTGAAGTTTTCTTCCCCCTCCAACCAACCGAACGTCAAACCCCAGACCAGTAAATGAGTTGGAATTTAATTGGAGTACCAATGGAATTCGAATTTAATTGGAGTACGAATCACTGACTAGCCATTTCACTGGTATTCGGAGATGCTGATTTCTACTCTCTCAAAGTCTTCGTGGACGGGTAACGGAAGAATAAAAACCAGACATAAAAAGTATCGATGCCGTGTCGACATCGACGGTTGAGAAAGGTTCAAGTCGACACATCGACGTAGAATCAAGAGCAATTAAATCCCTACTATTCGTAATTTCCTTTTTTTTTTTACATTTAGATCGAGGCAACACACGGGCCAGATGAGTCGTTTGGAGGGCATAAAGCGCAATTTGTTTTGAAATTTTGCCTTCACCACAAGTTGAACGACATTCTCACATGGAGTCGTCCACGCAGTCTCGAGCAATATCGATATTACTCAAATGTGGAATTCCTACATGACATGAAATAGGTTCTAGCAACCGACGCGAGATGGCGCCTAACTGGCGACTCAGTCCATCCCTGACGTCACTGGAACGAGTTTCTAGTATTTTCGATACGACACCCCATATTTTCCCACGTACAACTTAGAGGAAGACTTTGAAGTTCCTTAATATATCCGTTTGAAAAGGTAATCGGGCGGTAGCAGACTCCAGTTACATCTGGCCCGGCGGTTCGAGGGAGTATCGGAAAATTTTTCTAAACTTCATTCCGCGTCTTTTTACTACCTCTTGGTGACGACGGAAATTCCTCAATTTGCTTCAGAGCAGGGATGCCCAAACTCAACCTTTATTTGGACCAAGGTTTCAAAGTTCCAGCTCCCCATGGAATCGACCACAGATGGGAGTGTTTGCTCGACTACCTTGAGGTATAACAGAATACTTCAGGTTACGAGATCATTCTTATTTATCATAAAATATTCAATACTGAGAAAATGAGGAGACCAGGACGTCGATGGTTAAACGATGCAATAAAAACAATAAAATAATAAAGCAATAAAAACGCGACGCAATAGCGTATTTTCACGAGCAAATGCTCACCCGTGTCTCATTTCAGCATTGCGGTAGCATATAAACACCTTTACATAGCTACAAAATTGCTGCGTTAAAAAATCCTTTCTCAATGTTTACACGACTTTGTTTTGCCGACCGGGATAGGGCGACACCGGCTACGAAACTCCGTTCATGCTGCCACTTGCAGCATTGTTAACAATGGATCTGTCACGTGCGGCTGTTATAAAAGGCAGTTCCTGTCAGTTGCACGACGCACCAACCCAGGCTGACCGTGGCGAATGCTAGGCTACTATGGCAACTGTGAAAGAGCGGAGTGAAAAAAAAAATTGCGAAAAACTGATTTAGTATCTGACATTTTCCAAAAATCTTTGCAGATGAAGATTATTTCAAGCTTCACTGCTGACATGAGACGAATAATGGTGGCAGAAACAAGGCAGACGTCTCTTTCCATTTAAGGGGAATTGCTAGTGTCTTGGCCATCCCCAGAGCCCAACATTCATTTTCTCCAGACTTCGGTTAGTTCTGGGCTCCTAACATTCAAGCCTGTGTGTGACATCAATCAATCCTGGTGCGTAATCCTTCTGGTGCATTGGGAGCGATTTGGCCTGAGCGAGCACGTTTTGAGATTTGGCTGGTGATCTTATGCACTTCCATTTTGCAATCTTACGGAAAGGATTAGAAATAAAAAGAAACGAAATTGGTAACGTAATTGTAACAAAATAGAAACAGTAACGAAACGAAATCGATTTCGTTACCCAGTCCTGCCTCCCAGGATGAAATGACGACCGTCGAGCACGAGCCCCAATTTCAACATGTTGTGTGAGGGCTACTCGTTGATGAAGGCTTTTTGGAACATATGTATCAGTTTCATGCATCAGGCTGATGCATGCATCAAGTTGATGCATTTCCAAGCATCCCACCTCATGAAACACCCAAAGCCCGCGTGGAAACCGCCCGAGAGACCTCCACCTCAGACGACAGCGGTCCCACGCGGAAGCAGCTCGAGGAGACTGGCGCCTTCCGGCGTCCAGCAAGTTTTCGAAATTTCGCTTCATATTTCTGCTCGCCTTTTCGAATTTTCCGCAATTGAATAAAAACCTGTTTCGGGCGATTAGTACGAACCCCTTGCCGCCGTTTGGATTGCCGAATATTCGTGAATATTCATCCCACACACGCGAGACACTGATCCATTTCAGCGTGATTTTCAGCGTGCTAGTGCAAAATGCAATCAAGATTGCTCAACTCCTTTTGGTTATTTTTTTTGGCGGGGAGAAAATAATTCGATGCGAGGAGGACGCGCGGAAGAGGGTGCGTCGATGATTAGATAATCGATAAGAAAAAAAGAGAATAATTTAAATAATAAATCAATCAATAGAGAGCAACAAGAGTTCTGGTGAAAGTTCGGAGGAAACTGAGGAATCGGAAATATCTAGCGCCCGAATAACGAAAACCAATCAATTAAACTGTCTCGTTCCGGATGACTCGCTCCAGCATGAATAGGCTCGATGAAAATTTAATTGTGCTTATATAGGGTGATTATTTAAAAAAAAAACTTTCTACTGTTTTCTTTGGAAGAGACGCTGTTTCATAAATGCAAATAAAAAAATTACATTCGATACGTGATCGACGGCAACAAGGTGTGGAGATGCATGTCAGTTTTTTTCAGCACGCAATGTCCATTTAGAGGTGAATTAAAGGTGCTTAGAGATGGATCATTCCACCTTAGGTGAGGTGATGATCTGTGCTCGACCGTCTCAGGATTCAACGAAATTGGCAAACGGTCGGATTATTTTGAGAATAGCCCGCAGACAAAAAGAAATGGGAGCGGAAGCCAGGAAAAGCGAGTTGTAATCTGATTTGGTTGGGGGCACGAAACGGTCCCCCATAACCGTAACTTTTCAAGGGACGGTTGGATGCAGCATATAATTTACTTGACAGAAGTTCATGAGTCTAGGAGGTTTTTTCACATCCGCAAGATGGCGCTGTATTCGGATAGAGGGCGCTGTTGTTGACCAGAGGGCCCCCAATCTTCGTCACTTTTTTTGGCCCCTCAGCCAAATATCCGTTGTATCCGTGGAAAAGATTTGGACCTTGAATCCAATTAAAAACTGTGAATCTAGACAAAATCTTTTTTAGGCAAAAACTCGGCAAACTACTCGATTTTCTCTTTCCCAGGGTCTCGGTACGTCGGTTACTCGCGTGGCTAGCTTCTAATAGTTCTTCTTGGATTCCAAGAATCTGTTGAGGCGGCTTACTGGAACCTACTGAATCATGGAGGAGAGAACGTTTTAAAAAGTCCATGTGCGTCTCTTCAGCGGATCTTTCATCCGAGCCAGACCTTTCATCTGACTCACCTGAACAGGGAAAACAGCGAGGGTAAACCAGGAACGAGTGGACCGAAAAGCTGAAAAGAATAATATGGCTTGTAAGCAAGCTAGCAAGTGACTGCATATCGAAGTCTAACTCCCAACCCCATCCGGCAGAACGGTATCATCTGTTTAAGAAAGCATTTTCACAAGCTTTACATTTTCGCGATAAAAGCATTTGGCACGGTTTCTCCTTCCAAAGGCGCGCTTCGGCACATTGCCCATCGAGCACAGCACGCCCTTCGTTCCCAGCCCTTTTCCCCCCCGGCTCCGACTTCTCCAGGTGATTCATGGATGATTTGCATAGAAATGGGAGGAGAATGGTCATGGTTTAGTGCTCTGCGATTGAATCCTTCTCACGCTGTAACTTGTTTTACTTCAAAATACGAAGGGAGTTTAAGAGGATATCGTAAAACCATTCAAGTTTGGACACTATGGCATAAGTTACTGATATATCGTTAAATGAAGCATTCGCGAGGTCGCCCTCAGAAACAGTTCTTTCTTGCAGTGAACTGTTTCAAAAGGGTCAGGGCCGGCCTTAGGCATGTGCCACATGTGCCCCTGCACAGGGCGCAAATTCCCTAGGGGCGCCAAAACGTGCCAGAATGGATGAAGCAATAGTGGATGCCACCTTCAGATTTACTTCAGAAAAGGGAAGTCTCTTTGCACGGCACTGAAGTAGCTAGAGCCAGCCCTGAAAAGCGTGGCCATAAAGTCTGAAATCAATGGAATAGTTTGCAACTGCTCGAAATGTTCCCTTTCAACTCTAGATGCGGTACTTCCAATAGGCACGGTGAAGCAAACCGCCATTGCCATCAATGGTACCGCATGTTTCCATCGTTCGCGCGTGGAGATGCTTCACATTTCGGATTTTTACTCTATACACCTGGGTTTTGAGATTTCCTCGGAAGTCCAACGGATAGGGGTCCGGTGACGAGGTTGGTCAAGCACATTCCGGGTGACTAAATTTTAACGGTTTTGCGCAACAGCACTCTGGGTAGATTTCATTGAAGCAATCGACCACCAATCACGACCATATAATATCAGTTCGATACGTTCCTCTTTTGCCAAATTCATGTCAGCATAATACTCGAGATTAAAAAGATTGCAATAAAATTATACTCCCCATTGATTCCAGACTTCGTGGCCACCATGTAGTGTTTTGAAGTCTAATTTTTTTCTACCTTAGTCGCAAAAACGTGAAAGAATGAGCATTTTGAGTCATTCCCCTGACACTTTTTTTTTTCGAGTTCCAATTTTTCAAGAATGAAAACCTTAAATTTGATGTCAATAAAGCAGCTGATCCGAACCTTTTCCTCAGTGTGATCCACAATTCAGACAGCTGCACATTCTTACAAACCATCATGCACAAACGAAATCAACATTTGCCCATTTGAGGATTTTCATCCTCGGCATTACTTCAATGTTAGAGGACTTTGCTTACCCTGTCACTCAAATAAAAGTCCTCACAGGATATATCATTCCTCCGTAATACTTTATTAGTAAGCTTTGGTACGAAGGAAAATGAATAAAAAGAGATTCTGATGAATAGAAAAGTAAAAAAAAAAAACAACATAGGAAGAAGGAAAGAAGAAGGAAATGGGGAGTATACGTGGCCAAACACAAAGACGAAAGAAATGCGAGGAATGAAGACCAGGGGAAGAGAGGTAGAAGGGCTAAGAGAGGGACGGAGACAGAGATCAATGGCCATTGGCCAATCACTTTACTTAAATTTCACCGATATAAACAATGCTCATCCAGGATGAGCATTGTTTATATCGCACAATCAAGGATTGCTGTCAATCCCGGGCATGGGTGTCAATCCCCATGGGTGTCAATCCCCTGAGCACGCAGACACTCGATCGTCGACCTTGCTCGATCCACTTGGTCTGGCATTTGTGGAGCTGGTGGGCAATAATCAACATCTATCATAAAACAGAGGATCCATTTGCTCTGCTAGTATCAGTAGATTAACAAAGGTTTCCATTGTAAGGGTGAACAAACCTATTCCAAAATTACAGTAATGGAAGCCAGTACTTTACATTTCTTTTCTCAGTAATCCAGTGATCATCATGCAACATGACAACCACTGAGGTAGCCAGGCCTCTTATTGTGCTAATCATTTGTGCAAGGTCTTCTTGCTACCCTCTTAAGAGTGCATTGCTGATCTTTGGATGGGCAAAGGTGAAGAAAGGTTGGAAGAAGTAATGCTTAAAAATTTTAAATTGACCTCACACCACGAACCAAAACACAGGATCTAGTAACAGCTACCCACACTCATACAACTTTGGAATTCTTCCTCCAAGGAAGGTGATTTGGCAATATTGAATCTCTAGAAGCAAATGATTGTTAATTTTTTTATTATCAGCTGCATCAAGTTATTAAATTAAATTAAATTAATTACATACCCATACATTCATGTGATGACAAAAAGCAGCACCCCCTTTGACTGCAAACCAATCATAATCAAACTACAAAAGAGATATAAGAATGGAGTCTGGAGGGGGTAAAAGGGGGCACAGTGCTTTCATGTGCCCAATAGAATAGGACTGCAAGCTTGGTTTTCATCTCTTGACTCATTCAGGATTCAGGATTCAGGATAGTTAGTGATATCAAGAGGCGATTTCGCCCATTTCGATATCACGTGTCGAGGTCGAGCGTTCCTTAATTTTAGGGTAGGCCTAACCCTCTTAAAGCTAAATATTTTNGGTCGAGCGTTCCATAATTTTAGGGTAGGCCTAACCCTCTTAAAGCTAAATATTTTTGTATTTTTGGAATAAAAAAAAATCAGTCTCAACACCTGAGCAGTGCTTCGCCTCCATACTTACTTTAACTGTGAAGAAAAAGAATGTCATTATGGTTTGGTTTTTGAGCTACAAGGGCTTAAGGTAGAGGAGGTAGAGTTCTGAAAACCTGGGTATGCTGACCTGGAAGTTGGTTTTGGTAAGGGTGGGGTGGGGAGAGAAAGATGAATGGCCACACTTGAACAGAGTAGCCATATGAAGCCAATATGGTGACTATCATCACCAATACAGTGACTATCACCAGGATGAAGGAAATTCCTAGCACCACCCAGGATCCCATCCATCCAACCTCACCTGCAAGTAATAATAAAATCCCATCCTTCATATAGCCTCTTAAACACTTACCCACTACAAGGAATCCTCTGCCTCATTAGTTATGGTTTCTTGGACCAATGAAAAAGCAAATAACTGCCATAATTGGTTTCATATATTCATTGTCAATTAACCACTTGAGGGTGGATGACATTCATAAATGCAAATTTTCCCAAACTGAAACACATTAGTATAATTACAGTTTGGAAAACTATAGGGATTTCCCTAAGGCTTAGTTCAAGTTAGTTTATCTGCATTTTCTTAAATATCACACCAAGTAAGTGAATACAATCCACATTTAAAAAATTTGATTTTTTTGATCAAATTAATCCTGTCTGAGGGGCAACTTGGCCAAAATTAATCCTGTCCCCAAGTGGTAAAGATGAATTGATGGGTCAGTCAAATTCTTAGGTAGAACATTTTTGTCTGTAAATATAATTCTGGATTTTCTCATCAATAGATAAAAATCAAATAGGAAAAGTGACCTTTGGGATCAAAGAGCTCAAATCAAATATTTGGTCACAGTTGAGCTAGGAAAACATTTTTTGGCTCCAATTAAAGCTGAGAAAATGCTGAATTTCATTATTAAATGTATTTTCTGAGATATTTGCATATAATCAGTTGTAAATTTTCCAAACATTGCAAATAATGGCAAAATGTGCATGTAAATTTCAAGCAGTGAAAAGCATAATAACGCAAAGAGCTTTTGGAACATATAAAAAATAAATCAATAGCAATGAGAAAAGCTAAATTTCAACTTCCAACTTTGCCAAAACCTCCTCACTTTCCAGTGACAGATACAACTTTTTTTATGTCAAGGGAGATCATGGGCAGAGGATGACTTATTTCTTTAATCTAGGAGTGCACAACCTTGATGTTCACTATGGCACTTTGTGTGCTGAGTGCACTTCCATAGGCTGGAAGTAATGCACCCCTGCTTTAACCCTTTCCATGACAGATGGAAATTAAAATCTCCAACCTCCTCCTGGAGGCATCAGCATTTCTTGGGCATCAGGAGATGCCAATGCCAGGGAAAGAGTTAATATTAACTTGGACGAAGAGGAAAAAGAAATAGTACTTACTGATGATGGCTCCAAGGAACCTTGCAAGCTTGGTGCCAAATTGCTCCAAGGGATACAAAACTGTCTGTGTGACAGTTTCAGCAAATACAATGGCTGGGGTCACTTCCCACACAGGCTCAGAGTATATGGCTTTCTTGTATTCTTCACATACCTTGTTTCTGCCATAATCTGTCAATAAGACAATTGGCAGGTGGCACTTATTAATGCCAGACAATGGGGGAGAGCGAGTGACTCATCAGAAGGACAAAATGAAATACAAAGCAACAAAACAAGCAGAGAACCAAAGATGAGCTTCATTTTCCACTGACCAGGATTTCAGTCATATGTTCCAAGGAAAATGAGTCAAAAAGTACAATAATTACTACAGTTAAAATTAAAAAGTACAATAACAAAACCACAATAATTACTTAAGTGCTCCATGAAAATTAGAATCAAAATTTCATAAATGAATGTTCTTTGAATTTCTTGATTACAACCATGAAACAACAAAAATTCTCAATGAAATTCTATTATGATAATGTGCACAAGTATTTTAATCATCTTGCCTTCCCTCAAGCCACCAATTTCTCAGTTTTAACCCTTCCATTGCTAAGTTTTTCTGCAAGGAGCAACACTGTGAATGCTGAGTTTTTTTCTACTTGCTACAGCTGTAATACATTTACTGGATTATGATGAATAAATTATGCATTTTTTTAATTATTCACTACCTAGTTACATGCATTCCTGCAGGAGACCATATTTCAATCAGTGTTGTAATCAGTTGACAAAAAAAGTCTTTATTTTATTTTACACAATGCCATCTAGTGGCCATCATTTTTACTGAGCAGAGCTCTGATGTGTGATGGCATGTCATGAGTTATACCCACAAAATCTGAACCAGTGAAGTATACTCAATAGTCATGCAGAGGAGAAACCACAAAGTGAGTGTTGTACTATGCCAATGAAAAGAGCACATTTCTGGCCCAGAGGGAGTAGCAATGTGCTCACTGTCTATGTCATGGACTCATTTCCAGTGAAGCATACCTCGCTTCCATCTGAAAGTTTGAAAGGATGGGTAGTGTTATGGATGCTCCCTATAGCGGTCAGCCCTTGATGGCAGTGTGAGGTGGCAGTGGAGGTAAGGTAGATGACAACAGAGATAGCGGTGCATTGCCACTCTGGTGGTGATATCCAGAAACTTTTTGGAAACTTTCCTGTCATAAATTCCATTGGCTGCACATCCTCTAAGCCAAATATGAAGTTTCTCAGCCACTCCATAATGGAGAAATGGCCTTATGAAATAGGGAAGTAACCTTATGGAAAACCTTTATTTGGAATTCATAGAAGATTGAAAAAGCAGCAATTAGCTTTTGTCTATCAGTAAGTGGAATCTTGTAAGAAAGTCTCTGAGTGTTCAGAGTGATTCCTTTAATGCCCATAGATAGAACTAGGGAATTTGTACTAACCATAGCTCAGGTCATGTGGGCTGCTGTCACCTTCTCCAACTCTTCTTTGGTGAGTATTTCGACATCTGTGATTGTAAAATTTTGGTTTTGGTGATGAATTTCTGTCTTAATGGGGGCCCAAACATGCTTCATGACATTCAACATCGGATGGGCAGTGAGAAGAGTTGCGAAAGGTGACAGCAGCCCATGTGGCGGCGATCAAAAAGAATTGAGTGATGAAGGAAGAGGAATTTTCCAAAGGTTATGAAAATCAAAATTCAGAAAACGATGACTGCCTCAGAAAATGAAGATGATGACTCAGAATAAAAACAAAAAATATAGCATTTTTTATTTGCTTGGGCAGAGAGGTGGGGGGTGTGGAAGGAGGGGGAAAAAAAGGTTCTTCTGAACTGAGACAGGGTTAATATATCTATATTATGAAAATCCATGAAAATACACAGAGTATAGGATTTCAAATGTTTACAGTAAAGCCTCTACAAAAGGCTACACGTTTGTATCAGGTGTCCAATGGACCTAGGACAATACTAGGGTTAATTGAGAGTATTACTGAGAAACTCTAGGTATATATAAAGTGGGCTGAAATGATTGGCCATGATGAAAGCTAAAGCTGAGAATATAAATTTTGGGGGCAAACATGAATAAATAAATTAAAAACAAAAAATTCAGCACTTTAGGGATAGGTCATCCAGGCTTTGGGTGAGTGAGTGGATCTTTGGACACCCACAAAGGGTGACAACTCCAGTCTCCAGGGCATGACAAATGACCTTATGGAAGGCCTGTCATTGTCTCCCCCTCAGCATCTCAAAGAGGAGTGCATCAGTGCTGCCAGAATTTATTTTCATCAAGAGGCAAAGAAAATATGACAAAGGGTGACACGCAACAAATTGTTTAAACTTAAAAATTGTACATTAGAAACACTTTTCTTTAAAATCTCTGGGCAGGATGTAATACAAACTTCCACACAGGCGAAAGAAGGTCATCACAGCTTGACAAGTCAAAAACATGGACACAAATCCAAGCTAGTAAACTCCCGAGGCAGGTCAACACGGTTCACCTGCTCAAGGACATGGTAATCCCATCAGCTGTCTCATTTCTCTTCGTTCTTGTCATTTTTTTTTTTTTACAAAGGACCAGACAAATCGCTCTTAATGGCAGAAAGGGTTTTTATCTCCAACTTTGTTCTCTAATGCCTGGATGGTCTATATATCCTAGTATTATGTGCATTCATGGGAGAAAATCTTTCACGACAAGTTGGAGATTGAAACAGACCTCCAAAAACGTTTGCTTTGAAGCTTTGGATCAAGGATGTGAAGAAGGAGGGATCTTCTTGACACTCTGGAGGGATCCCAGGAGCCAGGATGAGATGTCTCTCATTCAGTTTCTTCTGCCCCCAAAATAGTAACCAGAAAAGTTAAACATCAGAAATGATGTAGTTAATAATTATGAAATCATATACTCAATTACAGTTGAACTTAGCAATGAAGTCATTGGAGGGAGTAAAAACTAGTTTTTCTAGCCAAGATTCATTAGAAGAAAAATTACATTCAATTATGTATCTATGTTCTGAAAATTTTCCAAATGTCAGCAACTTTTCTAAATAGAGAAAATTGATTCGTTTTAGAAGTCCATTCTCATGACTGATGTTTGTTTCACTTGACCCTTATATATAATATAAATTCCTACTTTCTGCTTCTTCATGAAGGCCAGCCACTTGCACTTTCCAATGACATTGCTATTATCAATAATAAGAACTATGAGCAACAACTGAACCTTCAGATAAAGATATTTTACTGACTGGAAATTTTCCCTCTCTCATCCTTCTATAGTCACATGCATCATGTGTGGATATGAGGCCATTCATAAATTTAGATTCCAGAAAATAAAATATTCAGGGGTTGCAAATGATCCATGTTCCTAATTACAGGAATTTCAGTCATTTGGGGACAAAATGACGATCTAAGAACTTGAATTTTATCAGTGGAACAAAAAAGAACCAAGTAATAACTAGGCTAGTGATAAGTTAGGTATAGATACACATACCTTATGGACTTGAGGGCCAGGACTCATTATTATAACCGAGGTCCCAAAACTGAGTTTGACCAAAACATGGTTTACCCTGTATACGATACAAGTGGTAACATTCTCGAGTCAAAACTGTTTTCTGATTTGAATGGATGTCAATGGTTGTTTTCTTTTGAATAATTGTATAATTTGGAAAGAAAACTTTCTTACAAAATATTAACAAAATTATTGTTAATATAACAAAAAAGAAAGAAACCATGCTTGAGGCTTGATATTGGAGGATGTCCAACCTCATAAAGAACCTTCCAGTTGAAGATAAGGCTGGCAATGAAGGCAGTGATGAGGAAGAACTTGAAGAACTTCTTCTGTATCCATCCAGAAACGAAGCATATAAGCATCCAGATCAAGGTAGCAGTAGCTACTCTTTCTTGGAAGCTCACCTTCCCCTGCAGCACCATATTCCATAGCTGTCATTCAGTTGACCAAAAATCTGTGTATCTTTAGTGTTTCCAATTTGTTAAAGTCAAAGCAAAGAATATCAAGTTCTGCAAACAAAAATGAAACAATCTCTGTCCATAACTGGATCCTCAGCCTATTGATTGAAGTAGTTCCAGCTGTCTTGGTTTACTCCACCACCTAACAAAACCCAAATGTTCTAGTGCATTTCTTTTCAATCCAGATTATGATTTGAGATTTGAGCAGGGTGTCATGCTTTGAGTTAAAGTCATCAATATGGGCTAAAGTGGCTCTCCACACCCCAAGGGCCAAGGAGTGATACAGCCAGTAATTGTAAAAACTTTACTTCCGTCCTGTCTTGGAATAGAGTAAGGAAAAATTCTTGCCTTGTCAAGACTTGCTTTCATGCTTTACCATCAACTCCCTCTTACTGAGAGTCTCATCTGTCCTTGCCATGAGAAATTCCTTACCTCCTTTCATGAGTAAGTGTTCTTGGTATGATCTCACAAGAAAAGTTGGAAATTTTGAAGTGCTTAGACATCGGTGAAAGGCAAGTTTAGGTAACATGTGCTTTGAATATTTCAACATTGGCAGTGTAGGATACAAAAAAGAGTAATAATAAATTTGAAAAAGATGCTGTCCTGGCTGGTGTCTCTCATGAGGAAATTAAATCATAGCTCATCCTTTGAAGGTGTTGATGTTGCCAAACTTGAATGGTTCAAGCAGGACAGGGCAAACAATTAGTGGTGTCAGGTTAGCTGAGAAGGCTTGTCAGTTTGTAAACAAGATGAATGGGAATCCATAACTGTTCAAGGCTTCTTCTAGGTGGCTGACCAATTTTGAGGAGTGCCATGGGTTGAACATTCAGATGGTATGAGAAGAGAGTGCATCAGTCTGTGCCAAGATAAAGCAGAAGCTCTGATGTGCAAGTTGACCGAAAACAAAATCGTCATTCTTGGAAACCTCAGAGAGGTATTGCCTCACTGCTGGGGGCTATAAAGGAGGAGTTGTATGCGTACGAACCAATCTCATATCATCTACAATACGTAACGTTGAATCATGTAGTGTCGAAAACACATAGCGTCAAATCATGTTCTGTTGAAAATTATCACTGATATTCCAGGCAATGATATCGAATCACTGTGAATCACGTAGTGTCGAATCTCTTAACATCAAATCTCGTAGGATAGAGATTCAGCAATAAAAATGCCCCTCCCCTTAATCATGTAGCATCGAAAACGCGGAACATCAACTCATGTAGCATCGAAAACGCATAGTGTTAAATCACGCAGTGTCACAAATGTGTAGCATCGAATCACGTAGCGTCGAAAACGCGGAACATCGAATCATGCAGCGTCGAAAACACGAACCATAAAATCTTGAAAATCTTGGAATCTAGATTTTCCAAGATAACACAATTTGACAAAAATAGCAAATTATCATAAACTCTTCCGAAAATAGAAGAATTCAATGAATGCGGGACTTCCACTTCCAGCCAAAGAGACGCTCTTTTCTTGTTGCTCATCTGCTAGGTCTGGAGCATGCGGAACACAGAGACATCTATCATAAGATATCTAAATGATTGTTTCCTGTATTTTCTAGAGCTAGCGAGAGGTACTGCTGTGGCACGAAGGGGTTTTACGTTCCTCCATCGTTGATGCGGCTCATCCAATGGACAATATACCTAGGTACATAGGAATTTCTTTCTTCCAAATTATGAGGTACAACCAATATTTTAACCATGGAAATGGTATAACCATTTTTAACTAAATCAAGGAAGGAAACTTTGGAAGGGAATTGAAAAGGGGGGATTTTGGCAGTGGCATAGCTAGGTTTTCGTCAATGGGGGGGCTAAGCAGAAAGTTGGGGGGGCTAACGGGGGGCTAAGCGGAATGTTGGGGGGCTAACTTCGCCTCGTTGGGGTGGGGCAGACACATTTCGACCAAAGTTGGGGGGCTTGAACCAAACTTGGGGGGGCTGAACCCCACCTCAGTCCCCCCCTCGCTATGCCACTGGATCATTTTGGGGGATTCGTGAAGTTAACTCTCCATCTAACATATCAAGATGATAAATGAGAAAATTTGTGCTAATTCCTTTTAACGAGAAAAAACCAAAAACTGCTCTTCTTGGGAAGGAGGCAAAATCACCATGCAGCCGCCAACCAGCAGAAGCAAAGATCCTACTCGGGTCTCGAAACTTGGCATGCAATTATTGCCTAGTGAGTACTAAGTATAATTAGTACAATGCCTGGTTTCTGCTAAAGCTAGCCAATATCTAAATTTAATTGGGAAATAAAATAGTTCCTGGAAAATAAAAGAGAACTGAATTGATAACTCAGTCTGTATATTACAGTAATTCACATAATAGCAATTTTCATGAAACCTTAAATATTTTAGGTACTGTTACACATGCTTTTTGTTTTGAATGTACTGGAATTCATTATGTTAGTAACTTGGTATTTGTGGACTCAACTAGCACATTTCACTTTTGATTTTATGCTTCTTTGCCGCATTTGTATCAGGTCACTATGTCACTGAGCCTAACTTTTTATCGGTATTTCAATTAAAGTCCAATTTAACTACTCGAGTTACTTTACAGTGTTTGTTTTTAAATGCAGGCGCGGCTCTTGAGAAACAGCATTTGTATCAGGTCACTATGTCACTGAGCCTAACTTTTTATTGGTATTTCAATTAAAGTCCAATTTAACTACTCGAGTTACTTTACAGTGTTTGTTTTTAAATGCAGGCGCGGCTCTTGAGAAACTGGACCAGGGTATTCAAGAAGTAAGTCTGGGGAGGGAGAAATCGCGGACTTGAACAGTTTATTTGCAGAGCAAAATTATTGGGAACTTCAAGACCTACACTTCCTAGTGGGAAGGTAAGGTTGCAAAATTTATTTTTACCCTGTAAATTTTGTAAGCAAGTTTCCCAGAAAAAAAAAAAAACTGGTAGCAACTGATGGCATGGAATGAGAGGTAAGGGAGACCGAACGACAGTTTATGCCTACAGTGGAGGTAGATAAATCTTTCCACTTCCTTCCTTGCTCTTTTTTTTTCCAATTCCATCGTCTTCATCCCAGATAATATCTGAAAACAGCATCCAAACAGTAGGAATGGCTTCGGAAGGCCATTCATCCCTTGGATGCTGATCATGCAAGGAAACCAGGGCAATATGAAGTCAAAGAATCCACTGCTTGTGCTCATGATGATTCTCAAGAGATGTGGCACATGCTTGAGTGGATGCCAAAAAGCAGGAACTTGTAGGCATAGTCAAATCGAACTGCTTGGCTTGGAGGCCCTAATTTGACTTCGTTTCGGTCTGAACCCAAGAAATTCCTAAGCCCGGCTTGAGCTTTGACCTAGCCGACCAATTAGCCCAGGCCCTTGGGAGCTTCTCTCTTCTAAGCCTTCCACAACTGTGAGAGGGGTCTTGAATCAACATGCATCCTACAGCAAGATGGTGATAAGAATCAGGTGTGGGGTGCAAAGAGATCTCCTTTGGGGCACATTCCCGGACCTTGAAGATGCTGTTGGGCCAGGAGGGTTAAACAGGTAATGAAAAATTATATTTCCTGGGAGAAATGAGGCCTAGGAATTTATTCCAGTTTAAACAAGGATAATGACCAGCAGTTCTCAAAAGAGTGGCCACGATAACTTCCCTAGGGGTCTAGGGGCAACAAAGCCTGGACTGCCAAGGATTTAAGCGCTTTTAATTAATTAATGTGGACTTAGAAAAATTATGTATTGCTTTTACAGTATTACTAATTTTCCCATATTTCTCCTCAGCTGAGTAAAGGCTGAGCAAAGCAAAGCGGGCTTATAAACGAAGGGTTTTTTGTGGACCTAAAAAAGGCATATGATCACGTGCTTTGAGGAAAGCTGCTAGGGTGACAAGTCCTGGATCCACTGCAGGCCATTCAGTCCCTAAGGTTGGAGTTGTGGATGAATTGAATTGAATTGAATAATGAAGTGGAATTAGTGAATGGAAAATTTGGGAAAAATGTTGACAACAATATCTCCAGGGTTTTTTGCAGATCTGGGGAAAAACTGGCTGAAAGCATTGGCACAGGCAGACAAAATAGAAAGCATGAAAAACATGAACACTTTCATGAACTTGCATTTGTTCTAGGAGGGATCCATGGTGAGTCTTGTGACAGCATCTTCAATTCTGGAGGTGATCCAATTGTCTCTTGTGCCCCTTCCTTCTGTGGAATTTTGTTCCGAAGAGGAACACAACAAGAGTTATGACAAGATATCCAATGATGCTGTCAAACAAGTTCAGTAGGCATCAAAGACTGCAAGCTACTACATGGATGAGAAAATTAGCACCTTCAAAAATCCAGTAAAGCAACATTGGAACCAATGAATGGATTGCTGTAGGTATAGCCCTGGAGTAAGGAGAGCATCACCAATTTTTAGCAACATTTTTTTCATGCATGAGAATGTCTCAAATTTATGGTTGAAAATTGTGTCCTAATCCTGTAGCAAGCACTGTCAATGATGTATACATAGCTACACTCATTTTTCCTAGACTATATCTCCTACTCCAGAAAGAAATTTTGAAAACATTCCATAGGTAAGGTTTTCATAGACAATTTCTTGGATGGCATAAAATTTAGGCGAACAGAATGGCAAGCAGAATGAAGTTGAAAATAACACATCAGTCAGATGGAGACCAAAAGAATCTCCAAGCTGATTAAAACTGGCAAATATGCAGCATGGCTCATTTTAAGGAAACAATTTCAGGTACTTGTTGATATCTGGCATGGTTTCTCCTAATATATTATTTTAATTTTACCTATTTTTGGTTTGAACCAGAACTTTGGAAATGTTTGAGCAATAACTTTCCTCCTAATGGAGATAGAAGTTCCATTCTGGGATCACTTCAATTGTGAAATTGCACTCTTCCCTAATGATACAACAAACTAACCTTAAGGAAACACAAAAAATTCCATGTAAACAGTGACCAACTTTGAGGTCAAACATACAGATAATTACAAAATTTTGAGGCATCTCAAAAAAGTTTTTGATAAATTCTCATTAAATTTTATACATGACTAATATTGAAGAAAATGATAGAAATAATATATGAAATGTTATATAAGTAGTATATCGTTTCAAATAAACATTTAAATGTGATTAAAATTCTAAGATCAATTTAAATCATTTAAATCATTTGGTGAAAAAAAAAACAGACGTGGTAGGGTGATATTGAGTCTGAAGGCCATCTCCAGGTCAATTTTCAAATTAGCATTGAAGTTTGGGTATTAACCTGTTCCCTCCCGATAGAGAATCATGCTGTAAGATTTTAACATGTGTCATTGGCAATGAATGTGTTAATGGGTTAAAATAACCATAATAGCATGAGGAAATTATATGCACATTTGTAATACTCATGATGGTGAGAATTTATAAAAAATTGTATGAAGAAGTCTCTACAGGGAGGGTATGAAGTCATGCATCATAGGCATATTATGATTTATTTTAACTCTTAGTCAGGTATCATAGGAACATTACAGGATACTACCATTCTCTGTGACCAGCCTTCCCAACCACATATCAGTATTATCTGCACTCATTCTTCTTTTGACGAAGACATTTCAGTGGTAAATTACCTGCAACAAAATAAAAAAGACACAATTGCTATGATGTGTGACTTTATGCCCACCCTTATTACCCAAGCTTGCAATCAAGCCAATTTACAACATTCCACATAACACTGTTCTGGCACAGAGCAATGGCATGCACATTTGCTAAAAAAAAAAAAATGTTATGGCAACCCAGAAAATGGAGGTGGGGGAAGGGGGAGGAGTAAGGGGAGAGATGGCAAAGGGAAAGTAGAGAAACACTCATATCAACCCATCAATTCATATTTATGGTAATTTACAGCTCTATACATCCAGTCACTTGTACACTGAGCTATAATGATTTACAAGCATAATGATTTCATGACATCCAGAGGCCTCAGCCCCACCTGGCCTTTGGCTAAATAATCTTGCCTAATACAATACTATTAGTAAATGAGAACATGCAGGGTGATGCAAACCTAGTCTTTTACATCAAAGGAAGAGCACTTGAAATCTGACTTCACATGGGTATTAATTAATGTAATTTCATTAAATTTTGATATAATAATAACATTTTTACTTTGAACAGTACCACCAGGAAAATGTGCTTTGAAAGCTCCAACTACGGCAGCTGTCAGTCAATGGCAGCAGTGTTGATAGAAGCAACTAACTTTTAGGGCACCCTGTATAGAAAGTGTATATTATAAGGTATAAAGTGATAAGTTAAAAAAAAAAAAGGATAGGATAAAACATATCAGAAAGAAAGAGTTTGCAACACAGTATATCAGAGCAATGGGACGGAACTTCTAAAGTTCTTAAAATGGGTGTGACTCATGGTCATTTTCTATAAGGTTAAACATTTTTCTGAGATTCATCAATATGCCAATTTTTCAACTACAGGTCACCTCAAGAAACTGTGAAGACTTATTTAACTAAAAAGCATCAGGGATGGTCTATAGTTCCCAAGGGTGGAGATAAATCCCTCACTTGAAGATTTTTACCATATTTCTCACACTGAAAAAATGGAAATTTAATAAAGAATATCACCAGGTTATGACTCAAAACTACCATGAATTTCCTCAGGAAAATTAGCATCCTGTATAATAATTATCCTAGTCAACACCAAACTGTTACTTCATGACCTCTCACCTTGTCATCATCTTCTAACATTCCTCACCTTGGGTAATTTATTGATAGTAAGGAGGACCTTCATCATCTTGGAAGCAGCTAATGACTTGGCAATTTTCTTCTTCTTGCCATCACCTTCAGAAACAAAACATATCCTGAAGTGTTTAACCTCCTACATTCTTTGCATAAAGAAATATGATGGTATTTGTGTAAGGCAAGACCAATCTCTTGGTATTCTCCAACAGTGACCCGCAACTTGAAGGTCCTGTCATGTGGGGGGCCTTCTTCAGCAACTGTCTCATAGTAGGGATGGGGCCACTTGCGAGCCACACAAAATTCCTGCAGTGCTCCAATTGGATTTCTGAAAGTGAAATTTGAAAAATGACATTCTCTTAAACATGAGGTACAACTAATGTAATTCTGTTGTTGACAGTGATTGGATTTATATTTGGATCAGTTTTAGTTTCTCTTCACTCCAGCTGGTTGTGAAAATGCACTGTCACAGAGGCAAAGAAGACACTCATGAGGGAAACCATGAAACATTACTTGGGCAAAGACCTATTAGCAAGCAACAACATTGGTTTATTAAATGGTCATCCATTTAAGGAATACTGCACACCCTTTCAAAGCAAGTCCATGACATGGAGCATGGCAAGACATAAAAAAAAAGCATGAAGAACACAAATTTGATTTTCATTTCATTTGTTTGATAAACAAGCAAACTAGCAGGGAGTGACAAAATATTTTTCTTGCAAAACACTGAACTTGGGCTTTCTAATATGAACCATATGAAAGTAGATTGTTCAAATTATCTTGCCCAAAAATACTATAGCTTACAAAGAACAGACTAATGGGAAAAGGAAATTTAAGTGAAAAGAGGAATGTGAATGTCTTAACAGGAAAGAGATGCTTTGAGGATTAATACATATATCCTAGAAGGCTGACCTTAAGGGGCAAGCAAGACTTGTCATTTCACAATATCCATATGAGATTAGCCTCATGGAGGTATTTTTATTCCTCATATGGTGGAGTAGTAGGACACCCTGACCTCTCAGGTAGGATGTAGCCCCATCATCAACTTATCTGAGAGGCACAATAATCAATACTAATGTACTGGTAACTTTGTCTGTCATCTCCATTGAGATGCCAATCATGAAAGTCCAAAATAATTTATGCAGCTTCATATCACAGATGGCCTCATTTTGAGAGGTGATAAACTTCAATCATATCTTCTACTGGTAAGAAACAGGGCTTTCTTTTAGCATCAGTAAACAAAAATCAAATGTTTCCATGTTCATTCCATTTTTATTCTCTGCCCTTCACGAAAAGAAAGCTCTTTCCTGCTTTTTAATGGGAAATTCTCAAGGATGGCTTTCTGCTGGTTGATTTCTTTTGCTATTCACAGCTCATTGGCAGTGTTTGATTGGAGCAATAGAATGAACTGACTCTGTACTTTGTAAAATCATTAATCATATTATTCTTTAAATTTTAAGATATTGCATACCCCTAACAAATACTTGCTTTGCCTCCAAAAGGAATGGCAAAAATTGTGGAACCATGCCTTTTTAATTTGTCCTTCATAGTGCAATAAGTGTTGAGTAAAAAAAAGTCTTTGATGTCATCTTTCACATAAGTAGGTCTTTGTTTCACCAAGTTCATCAATAACCCTATAGCTATCTAATAAATTTTCAAATCAAGCTCAGTAGTAAGAATGTGAATAAATACCCAATATTGCATCATGCTAATTCAAAGCAACTTAATTTCCATGCCCAAATAGCCTCTACTGACCATGTTTGTGGCTAGCAAATCATGGTATTACTTTGAGGCAACAAGAATAAGCTGCTGTCATTCCAACAGGCAGTTAGAGGAGATTTATTTATTTTTTTATTTTATAAAAAGGCAGTGCCTTTGTGTTTACCACTAATGAAAACATAAAAAATTCAAAACTTATTTGTCATTTGTTCATGTAATATAAGGATACTAATTCTCAATATTTTCATAAATCAGATGAGCAGGCATTGACAGAAAAAGAAGAGAACAAATAAAGATTCAAATGCATTAATGAATTTGATTCAATCATGTTCATTACTCTTACCTTTCTATGATCATTCTCCTTGCAGGATCTTCACCCAGCAATGTTTCCTGTTTTAGACAAGAAATGGGGATATATATACCTGCATTGGGAATGCATGGGACTAGAAATTAGGCCTCACAATTTCTATTGCCTATCACCCATCAAATTTTGATATTGTCACACCTCCAATATGAATGGTTCTATGGGGGGCCCTACCTCATCCTTTGAAAACATTCCTTTAAGGTTATCTGCATGTCAATAATACCCCAGTATAAGCTATTCAAGATCTCCAATTTAAGTTAATACCTTTTTTTTTTTTTATACAAAACAGGTTGATTCCCTAACAGCATGGAGCTCTTCCAGAAGAGCTTCAAATTCCAGATTGCCAATATTTCCAATTTGCTTGCAAGGCAAGTAAAGCCTGACAAGCAAATTTAAAATATAGTAAATATAGTAAAGTCGAGCCCATTTCCTTAGTACAATGACATGCTGCACAAGAGAGGCTCCATAATGAATGAATGCTTCACGCAGGGTTGTAAGTGTGTTTATCTATAAAAGATGGATTGTGATCTACAATATCAGCTTGAAAGCCTTTGCATCATTAGTAATGATATCGCGAGAAGCATTGAAATGCAACAATATATCTGGACACATGAATCGAACCATGGCACAAAAGCCGACCCTGCAGTTCCTTGAAGTCGGGCCTGTGATGGTGCTTCCTAGCCTCACTAAGCATCCACCACCAGGCATGAAGGCCTTAGCAAGCCTCTATACGTGCATGCCGCTCGCCATGTTGGCTAGCAGAGCCAGGAACGACTGATTTTGGACAGACTGTATTTTCCCAGCATAATTGCCTGAGAGGTACATCCAGGAGGGAGGTTTAAAGAGGGGACTAGCTGGATATTGCCTGACAGTCAAACTTGATTAGAATATCCATGGCCTTTGATATAGATCTTAGGCTGACCATGGAAAGATAGATGTACGGTAAGCACCACCAGAGATGTGCTGTTATACATGTGAATGTAGAATTCCTGACCTTAGGCGTGTGCTTCACTTGCCTATGCCTACAACAAGGGATCAACTTTCAGAGATCCTCACCGTGATTTGGTCCAGAAAATCGATCCTCTAAAATATAGAATCCCAAGAACATAATGATGTAACCATTTCTTACAGCATACTCTTCAGTTATCTTAGAACACTATATTTACAACATCGAGGCTTAGAGCCACCAGTAAGTACCACAACATAATATATACCAGGGACATTCATAACCATGATCTCAGCCTGCCTCACTTAAAGTAAGAATGATGTAACTTAAGGAGCTCGTTTCCGGTTGACTATAAGGATTAACAACGATGCATTCTCTGTGAGGCACATTTTAAGCGCTTCGCTTAAAACATGGATTGGAAGACGAAGACACAGAGGGCTGTATGTCATTATAATGGCAAGGTCCGTGAACTGGAATTCCGTCCAAATTCGTGCACGGGTCGACTTTCGCGTACTTATGTTACTCAAAATTTTTCTCAAAAACTATCAGCCTACATCCCTTCTACTTCATGAATATGTTTCAAGAAGCTACAAGCAGGCCTACTAATTACAAAGGCTAGAAGTGATAACAACCTCACTAATAATTCAGTAGGTTGATAAATCCCTTCAACTTCTATTCTTGCTGTTTTTTTTCTTCCTTCAACTGTCCTTCCTAGCTTTGTTGCCACCTAGAACTGTTATTGTCCTGTACTATTGCTGTGATGATCTCCAAAGACCAATTCTGATTGCAAGAAGTGAATAAAGAATCGAAGATTGAGAAAAGGCCCTACTCAAGTTCTGTAGAAGCTAGGAATCGAGTGGTTTATACAGCATAAAAGGAAGGTAAGGCTTGTCTTGAATTAACAAAAAAGGAAATAATCAACATTGAACAGGTCTTTGAATAGCCCCAACTAATGATAGGCTAGGATTAGGCCGAATCATTGCAGCTTCGTCTCGCGGGGTTTACTGCTGTGAACATGCAAGGCCGTTAGAAGGTAACTTGCACCTAATGTGAAGGTAACTTGCACCTCGATGTCTTCTTATCATCCTTAATCCTGACGAACTAACATGTAATTTTTTATATCAATTTTCTTGTTTTCTCAAGTCAGTTTCAAAATTGTTTTCGATTTTTCTTCATCCGGCAATAGAGCATAAATTGTTTTGAAACCGACACTTCCCGAGCTGCTTTTATTGTTCCGCTTCATGAGGCATTGAACTGACATTCAAAATGCGGAGAGACCTCAACGCAGAATTCAAGTGGTTATTGGCGCTCTAGCCAGTCATGCATGCTCACCGGCAATACCACGTCAGCTTCCAATACCACGTGGGCCACTCCGGATAAAATGCGGAGTGCGGAAAACTCATTCAAGATTCAAGATAGTGATATCAAGAGGCGATTTCACCCATTTCGATATCACGTGTCGAGGTCGAGCGTTCCTTAATTTTAGGGATAAACTACATATTAAACTAAATATTAAACTACATATTAAACTAAATATTAAACTACATATTAAACTAAATATTAAACTACATATTAAACTAAATATTAAACTACATATTAAACTAAATATTAAACTACATATTAAACTAAATATTAAACTAAATATTTTAGTATTTTTGTTTTGTTTTGTTTTTTTTTGTTTTTTTGCTTATCCTAGTTGCTTACTGTCTAGTACCTAACGTCAACATTGCCACCCACCTTTTTACCTGTCCATGAAAGCACTCAGTTTCTTCTTAAAGATAGTCATAACGCGGGGCAGCCACTACTTCGTCGTGTAACGCATTCCACGCGTTCACCACTCTGCAAGTAGAGAGTTTCTGTCTCGACCTGAGCCGCACCTGCGGTTCAAGCAACTTAAGTCGGTTACCTCTCGTTTTCTCCCACACAGCACAGGTATATCCCAAAGATATCCCAGAGATATCCCCTTGGGACAAGTGCGATGTCCCAGAGACAAGGAGTAGGGACATCTTAGGGATATCAAAATGACTGGGCCCAATGACATCCCAAGGATATCCCTTTCTAGAAGAAATAGCACATCCCTAAGATGTCCCTAAGACATCCTCCTCAAGACATCGAAAAGCGCTCGACTGAAGATGTCTTCAAGATATCCCCTCCAGGATATCCAGAATCATTCGACTAAGGATATCTTCAGTCGATATCTTAAAGATATCGACTGAAGATGTCTCAAAGACGTCCCGAAGACATCCCTTACGAGATATCCGAAACCGTCCGAAAGAAGGTGTCTTCAGGATATCCTATAAAGACATGGGGAGAAGTCGTCCAGTTAGGGACATCCCTGGGATATCCCTGTGCTGTGTGGGCTTGGTCATCAAACTGGAAAAACCTACCACACTCGACATGATCTATTCCTTTAATTATCTTGAAAGCCTGGATGAGATCGCCCCTCTTTAACCTTCGTTCGAGCGAGTACAGTCCCAACACTTGATGTGTATGCCTTTAGATGTTCTATCCACCAATGCAAACAATCAAAAGACATCTGATCATGAAGTCTCATTTGAATTGTGTTTTTCTCAAGAGAAGCCTTGGTCTTTGTTGTACATTTTAAATCATGATCAAAAGGAAAGCTGCAAGTCTTTGACAAGGCTCTTGAATCTTGAGGATGGAGGATGTTCATAGTAAATATGAAAAAGGGATATGGGAGTACTCTATATATTAATAGAATATGGGTGCATATGCTTCCTGCAGGAGTCATCAAGAAGCTTCTTATTCTTCCACCTCGCCCAGTCCATCAGTGAGCAGCTGCAGGGAAGTTTAATTAGTATAATATCTTTCACTTTTGTGGGTCTTCCTACTGGAACCATTTTCTATAACTGCTTTGGTTTAAAATCCTTGTTTGGTATAAAATGGCATTTCTCATGGTATAAATGGATATTCTAGCAAAAGGAACCATGTACGCTGGTTGCAAAATGAAAGATAAATCCATAATAGTGACTTAATATCATCAAAACTTTATTGCACCATAGCATGGCATTTTTGTCAATTTGGTAAATACAGAATATATCACAGAAGCTTTTCCTCTATTCCATCGTTGCCCATTTGGTCAGTGACATTGTGTTTTTATTACAGGAGAGTAGATGATATGTGTTGGCTGACTCCCCACAAAGCAAACATACACATCCTTCTTTTGCTTTGTGGAAGGCTTTGGTTTTGCAGATCTTAAAGTGGAATCCATGGAGGGCGTGTCGAGTCA